AGCTCTCTACGTCGTGAATGCAAAATGCCTTCACTTAGTAATTCCCAATTCTTTAACCAAAAAGAAGTCACATCAGCCACCTGACAATGAATGAGAATTGTGACAAAAAGTTTTCTAAGTTTATAACCAGAAGCCCAGTGCGAAGCTTCTTGGACACAATCATTCCATTCAGAATCTCCTGATAACAGTCCCCGAGCATAACATGCTTTTTGGAATGTTTCATATACCACCCCATTCACTGTTCTAATACCATCATAAGAACAACAACCCCTAACAACATGCAATAGCATTCGCAAATAGTATCGCTCCTTTGCGGATGGGTAGCAGTAATATAATCTAGCAATGCAGGTACCTTTTTTGCGCTGCTGCCACTTCTTGTATTTTTTATTCCATACATAATATTGTGGCATCTCCGCAAAGGTATATTTCCGTGCATCCATTGACTGAAGATTGAGATCCATCCATGCTAACAACATTGAGGTTTGGGAACTGCTAGACTCAACCGCTTCCTCCATGTTAGAATCAACATTTGAATACACTGTATTCTCACCAGGCAAATGACAGGACATACGCAGTACTGTTGGAGAGTGAGTGTATATATCAAACCTAAAAATTCTCCAACATGCTTCTCCCGATGTGATGTAACGGGCATCCATGAATGCCTTTATCTCATCGATTTGCACAACCGTAGTTCCACGATTCCGACCATCCATAGCCGAAGCTGTTTGTTGTGCAGCTACAGTGACCATTGCACGATCCTCGGGTTTGTTGATGTACTTAAACAAATATTTCACAGCCCTATAGAAACATCAAATAAAACCAAGTTGTAGATGTTAGATAGGGAAGTAGGAAAAAGTTGTATTACATTTTTTCTTAAATGTGACTTGTATTAAATAAGAAATCAAAGTACAGAGAACAAAAGGCAACAAATGGATCACAATAGCTTATCCAAGGGGCAAAAAAAAAATGAAGGAAAACACACCAAAAAATATTACAAAAATTACAGAGTTGCGGCAAGAAGTCACACCAATAAGATAACACTGGGTTTATAAAATAACTAAAAAAAAGAGAAATCGCACAAATATTGGTTTGGTTTTTATTCATCTTTGGAAATTAAATCATAATTCATATGCATGCATAAAGTTAATAATGAGTGTAGCATATAAATATACATATAGCCTGTCATTAAGAATCTGAGTTTGGTAATATAATAAAGGAAACAACAACGTCATATAGATAAATACGATTTACTTCAGCCATACCTTGTCTTGTTACAATATTCAATATTGATATGCGCTCCAAATCGTAGTAACAAATATCGATTGTAGGGTACAACCCATCGATTATCCAGATCAACGCCGCCACAGTTGAAAACTCTACCATTGTTCCGCCGACGATATTTAGCAAACCCAGTTTCATCAATAGTTGTTTGAGAAGAGTATTCCTTGGGGTAATGCTTACTACATTTCCCATTCTTCATGCACACATTATTAGGACGTACTGTACCACACGGGCCATGCATCATTGAACTTGTGACAACTGCATACAGTTCAGGATCAAGATCAGGATGCGGAATTTCAGCACATATTATGGAATCAATAGCCGCAGGACCATGGAATTTATTCTCCGAGGCCAAAAAAGCAATATGTGTGCATGAGGGAGACCCCGCTTTTGTCATTCAATTGCTTTGACATCTGTACAGTAAGATGCAAATAGTGGAAAAGGAATATTAGTTCAATGAGGTAAGAGAGTAATGGATGAACATTAATAGATAAATAACGAATGAATAAGCACACATACATGCATTGATTTTCCCAAATATTTGTTTCTCGCGAATCTCTAACATAAACTCATCAAGCTTGATTTTGAAAACTCTGGCGGTGATGTCAGCCCGATCAGGATCTTTGCCACTGTACCTTCTAATCAAATCAACCATTAACTGTATCTCTGGCCAGTTAGAATTGCAAGTGAATGTTATGAACAAATCAGGATAACCAATCCACTTGCAAATAGCCATCGCATCCTGAAAATTCTCATACTTGTATCTTGGACTACCAGTGTGTGAGGCAGCTAAAATAACTGGCTTCCCAGAAAGCTTGATATCACTATCCCCTCGCAAATAAGAATTCAACAAATCCTTGTAGTAGTGTCCTCTTAGCTTCGACTAATGGGTACGCATCCAGTCTAAGCGTTCAGCCTCAATTAACGCAAATGCATTCACCATATATTGTTGAAACAATTTACCAGATAATAATAAAGAATTCGAATCCTGGAGACGGGTTTGAAGACGATATGCATAGAAATCACACTGGGTTATCATTTTATCTCCAACACTGATATTAGAGCTACTGTGACTATAGCTAATGCAGGGATGCCACCCATCCTCGCCATATGGGAATAAAATTGGATATTGTAATGCCATCAGACTTGGATGGTATACGCTAATCCTTTCCATTTCTGAACCCTTCTGTTGAGCAATTATATCTGGAGAAAATGATTGCTCTCCTGTTTCATCTACAATCAATGCTGCAATCTCATTCGCAGAGAGCAAATCATATTCTCTACCATTAATTTCACGCTTAGCCAATAGTTTCAGTTGAAGCTCCTGGACACCAGAGTTTTGTATCCTATCTCGCGCAGAACGAAATGTACGTACCAGGATATTATTGTCATCAAACATATGCTGGAGGCCTTCAACAATACACTGGCGCAACGGATTCTTGGCAGGATCAGTGGAGTAAAAGTCCATACGATTCTGCACCTCGTTATCTGAATCGTGAATGTAAAGCTGTGCAAATTTCGGACTATCCCCATCACCAGGAACCAAACATCCTATTCGATGATAAATCTGACCACCGATTGAATATACATAAACTCCACGACCATCATTAATAGAGTGATTGACTTTACCTCCGAGAGAAATAAAGCAAAAAACCCCATTATAGGCTCTGATGTTAGTACGAAAGTGACGCGCTAATGGTGTATCCCCTTCAAGTAGAGTTTTAAGAAATTCGGGCACATCTCTGCGGGGAGGCAATTTCACTTTACCATGTTTTCAACATAAAGGAAATGCAGGCAACACATCATTCCGTGTAGATAAAGTACTCTCGAACCGCCACATAACTGCTCCACAATGTTGACACGTACATGAAGGTGGACCAATATCAAAAAATTCAACCAACGGGAGACCTAGTGAAATAGATAAGTAATATTAATAAATTTTTGTCACAGTAATTCATAAATTGAATGAGATTGAGAAACTGTGAAGCCGATTTAGGCGCGCTACAGTAAACACAATTATTAAAATAAATGTTCTCAAGGCAAGATAGATTGGTATACCGCTCATTTTAAGTAAGAATAAGTCAAATTTCAGGAAACACCAAAGTTTGTTCATAACACACAAATTTGCCGTTGACACATCAACATCTAAAAACAATCCACTATTTGCATAAGGTGACATGAAGCGTACATCACTAAATTATATGCATGGCATAAATGGGTACATTATATGTTCAAAAACCAAAATAGGAAACAAAATATGTTGACCAGAACACAAAAACATATATCCAATGTACAAAAACTAAACCAAAATAGAGATGAACCATTTCATGTATAATAGTGGCCATTAGAATCCACATACTTTGATTGACTTCTGTAGGAAAGAAACTTCGGCCACGTCTCTTTCTATGCAGATGAATACGTCGAAGTAATCGACTTTGCTTTTGTAATAGAAATCTAAACTCCGGCTCCAAAACTATTAACAACACCAAAACACATACGATATTAAAGAAATAAATAAAGATTCAACAATCTAGAATAGCCTAATTTGTAAGACTTGCTACAAAATTTAGCAAACAACAACCTTGGTGTTCAAAAGGCAAGCCCCTCCTATGAACCTTCTGTTTCAAAATATGATGTCTTCTCTTACGGGCGACTTGGGATAGTATTCGCCGAAGTTGAGAGAGTTGGAATTGTAAGGCAGCTTCTTCTGCAGAATTTAAATATAAAACCATGTATTACTCATTGAATAGATGAACTAATTAGAAAAATTAAAACACAGATAACACACCTCTCTCAAATGCTTCTTCCTCTTCAGCAGATAAAACACAGCGTTGGTACTGATCTTTAGGATGAATAAACACTGCTCGACGTTTCCCTAAACAAATGAGATTCAAGGGAAAATATTAATGTCAATTTGCATTGAAGCACTTGCGTGCTAAACCATGACACTCACATGGTACAGGCGATCGATAAATCTGTGGTTGGGCAGATGGGATGACATTTGCACTATCCATATTAAATTCTCCAATAACCTGATGCAATCTGAAATAGAGGTCGTGGTAAATGATGCACCCGTTCCAGTAAATTTTGCAGCTGCCATTCATATAAATTAATTAATTGTTACAACAGAAGTTGAACTCCTCATCAATTATAAGTTTGTGCGAGTTAATGACACATACAACACACCACACAAACATAACAGTCGAAGAAAAATATAACTATATAAGGCATAATTTAAATTGATGAACAAAACACATATAACAGAATGGCTTCCAAGCTTGGGGATGCAAAGGAAGAGCGAGAAGGACAACAATGTAATGGCCAACACAAATATAATTCAAAGGCATCCATAAAAACCATATCCAAAGAGAAGTTTGAAAAAGAAGCAAGCTGGCAATAAGAAAAGCACTATAAGTGCTTACCAATTCTAGTTCCTCTAACTATAGCTTATCCCTTCTTTCAATTATGCAGTTTACGCTTTGTACTTTTAGCACAAATGGATTCCAACTCTAATGTCACAAAACAAATACAATGCAAATGAAGTTGAAGAACAATAAAACAAACTAATGGAGTGAGATAAAACTGTCCAATGATCTTATGTAATAACGGGAAAAAAGCCTGGTAGAACCAATACACTAACCAGTGGAGCATGCTTATCAATACCGCCTACTTTATACTTCTTTAGTGATTAGAGCTGAAAGTACATTATCAGATCATAGCCAGTCCCATTAGATTAATTAACCTAGAAACATATGAGAGAAAACCTTACTGATCAAGTTGGATTTCGACATTTACCTGCAACAGAGTTAACATCAGAAAGTAAATTGATTATGTCTCATACGTGGTGGCGGGTGGGGGACGGCGCACCAAATTTCGTCGGCGATGGGCTGGTTCTGGACTCAAGTAGGCTGGGCCTCTGAAGTATGGGCTGGCGAGAGAAATGGATCCCCGAGGCCTTATGGTTTACGCTTTCCTTTTCCCCCGCCAGGCCAGCGGTAGTTTATAGCCGGCCCTTCGGTTTACTGACCCGGAAAACGACCCGGACGAAGTACCTGGCTGCCGCCGCCGAACGTCTCTTTCTTTCCTCTTCTTTCTCTGCGGCTCGGAAAAACTCAGCTCAAAATCGGCAGTCGGCTGCTCTCTGGAAGACAGTCTAAGCGAAGTGGAATTTAAAGTAAGCAGCTTTGTTACTTTCAAGAGAAAGGGAAAAATAAAAAATCCCCTTTTGATCTCTAGAGAATCCAATCAACAGAATGAAGCGAGGAAGGTAAGAGAGAATAAAGAAAACGGAATGAACCAAAGGTAAGGGAGATGAATCTTTGCAACCGAATCCCTGAAAAAAAAACCCAGAACCCGAATCCCTAAAACTTAAAAGCAGCGACAACAACAAACAGAAATCTGAAAGAGGAAGAATAACTTACGGCAAAACCAATACCGATCTAACGCTTAGAGAACGGAAATCAAAGGTAGATGCAAGCACATAAAAGAACCAGATGATTGAGTCAAGGTTTGGTTTTCTGAAGGCCAAGAAACTTATTCGAATGAGGTGAAAGAGTGGAAGGAAGGGAAATCGGAAATAAAAAATACAAATTAAATGAGAACGTGGGCCTGGAAGGAGAAAAAAGTGGGTAGTGTAGAGTTTTTTATACAAATTAAATGAGAATGTGGGCCTGGAAGGAGAAAAAAGTGGGTAGTGGAGAGTTTTTTGGTTCTGAAATCAGGCGGGACTCCTTTTTTTTCCCGCTTAACACTCTGCCACATCAGCTTCCTAAAATCACTCTATGGGCAGGAAATTTTGAATGGGGGGTGCAGTTTTACTTTTCAGCTATAAATTATACTGTTGATTTGTTGTCTCACAAGTTTACAATGTCCGATTCAACAAATTCGTTGAGTTGAATGAAGAACGATTATGCATAAATGAGATTAATTGAGTTGTTTGAAGGATCTATCTAGTCCCGCTACTAAGGTATCATGTTACTTCATACAGAGACTTTGTATGCTACGGGTCTCCCTGAAGGCTTTGTAGATGAGGTTATGAGCTGTGTTTCAAGGTCTTCATTCCATGTGCTTTGGGACGACATGGAAACATAAGTTTTCGTTCCGTCTAAGGATATTCGATAGGATTGTCCATTGTCACGTATTTGTTCACTTTCTGCATTGACAATTGAGCTAAACCATTAAGGACGCAGGCAATAGCGAAGCTTGGAAGCCGATCATTCTAGATTGAGGAGACACTCCACTTTCTCACATCTTTTTATTGACAGTTTGATTTTATTTGTGGAGCCATCAGTGCCCAAGTCGCAGTAGTTCAAGATTAACTAGATTGATTCTGTGAGGCCTCGGGCCAGTTGACTAGCCGAGAAAAGTGTATGATTTCCTTATCCAATAACACAAGTCGTACTTGATGCAGGAGGTTAGTGCGGCCTTTAGCATCCTAATGACTCAGGTCCTTGGAAATAACCTAGGGTGTCTGTGGTACATGGATAGTCACGAAGGCAACCTATAAGTATGTGTTGGATATAATTGATCAGAGGCTCGCAGGATGGAAGATCAAAGTGTTATAGCTTTCTAGGAGGGTAAGTCGCACTTTTTCAATTTTGTATGCTATCTCTTCAAATATTGTGCATACAATAGTGATTTTGGTGTTTGTGTGTGATGAGAATGACAAGAAGATATGCTCCTTTGTTCGAGGCACAGAGGACGATTAGTGCAAGATGACCTTAGTGGCTTGAGAGGATGTCAACAAGCCTAATGAGCAGAGGATATAGGTCTCCGGCGTGCGAAGGAATGAACAAAGCTCACATGATGAAGTTGGATTGGGGGTGCTCAAGAATACCGATGAGCTCTGGGTGAAGGTGATGCTTAAGAAGTACCTCCACACCGAGGGGGTGGTGGTCATAACGCAACTTAAGACAAGGCGTTTCATCTTATGGTGAGGCATTAGAGGGGCGTGGCAGGCACTGTTTGAGAGATTGCATGGAGTGTCTGAGATGGTCGATCTACTAGCTTCTAAGACTCTATATGGATAGACAGTGGAGTTCGATCGGTTGGAAGATTGGGTGACGTAGGAGCTCCCCGCACACATCCAAGACAAACATGTTGTAGATTTTGTGATCGACAATGGTGAGCCGGCACTGCATGCCCTGTCTCGGTTTTTACCTAACGATTTCTGTATGCAGGTTATGAGATGTCAATGCCAAATGAGAAGCTTGGAGAGGATGGTCTAATCTTCAATGTATGGTTTTTGTTACGAACATCCTATGGCATCATGGTGGAGCAAGCGGAAGCAGCAGAACCAATAGCGTGGAAGCGAATTTTGAAGTGGCCATACTCTATTGCATTTGCCATTTCCTATGGCTCACTAGGCATGGGCACCCTAACTAACATAGAGAGACGAAATCACATACTCACCAACCTGGACCATTGTCATCGTTAGGGGTGGACAATGGGAAACGAGTATTTGGGAAAACCCATACCCGTCCCTTTTTTTAGGGTCACGGGAAGCCAAATACCCATAAAATTTTTACGAGATGGGACTTGAGATCAAGAAGTTATGAAATGGGAACCCCCCGGGTTACCCGTTATTACCATTTGGTTATTACCGTACTACCCGCCCAACAATGTTGAATTCAAAGATCACAAGGTAAAAGCTTATAGGAGGGTTCCTGTGTTACCTATTTTGTCATGGCATATTTTAAATCTCTAATACACATCCACTGCCTTCTGATTTGGAGGCTCTAGAATCGGCCAATGCATTGATGTGTGATAGATTATCACAAGTTTTTATGGGGACAAGTTTTTATGGGTTACCCGCGGGTACCCGTTCTCCGTCCCCGTATGGGTAATGGGTACCCGTTATCCGTACGGGTTTGGGATATGGGATGGAGTTTACTCTCCAAATGGGATTGGGTACCCGTTTCAAACGGGACGGGTACACAATCCCGTCCCGTTGCCCACCTCTAGTCATCATTGCCAAGCTAGACGTCACATATTTCTTCCATGTACCCTTTTTCAACTGGTTTACACTTCATATTTCTATAGCGTCCATGTAGGTCAATTTTGGGGTAGCATATTGGTTACTCTAGAGAGCCCGAACTCATGACATCTTCTTGGGGCGGTGGAGGTTCCCAACAAGATAAGCCAAAGGGTCATTGCCTAGAATAAAATCTCAACTGATGCCAACATTAGAGCACGACATTTAGAACTACGGATTGTGGTGTCACATATAGATGGAGACGTGGGAAGGAGACCAGTGCCACATGATTTGGTCATAGTTAATTAGATGGATCATTCATACCATTGCATGACCTGACATGCATCAGCAGGGGGAGCGGTGTGAGATTGGCAAGGTCGCTTGTTGGTGGCTTTCACCGCCTATTTGGAAAGTTGTTCCATCACTCTCGTGGAACTCCGTGGGGCCATTGAAGATCTCTAATTGGCGTAGCAGCTAGGACATCAAAGGGTTGCCCTGCAGATAGATTCCACATCAACTGATTCGAGTCTAATTGTACTCATTTTACCTCCATTTTCCTTAGATGTTTGAGGCACTTTTACTCCGCGAGATTCGGTTTTATGCTAGGTTGTGGTTGTTTTTAGTATGTTTCAGATCCTAGCAGGTGAAATCAACCCATGGAACGAAAGTTGGATGAAAAGGGGCGAAAACCGATCAAAAGGGAGCAATCAGCAGTAGTTCATGGTAGAGGTCAGAAGATCACGGTCAACCAGACCATGAAGAAGTGGCGCAGACCGTGAAGCGCATGGAGACCAGGACGATTTTGTATACCTCGTGGGCATTCAACAGTTCACGATCACTCAACCGGTCCGTAAAAACTAGCTCCAGATCGTTAAGCGCCTCAGTGAAATGACACACTTTTGCTTGACATCACCGTCCAAGCCCAATGTTCACGGCCGTGAACTGTGACCGTGAAATGCCGTCGATCTGGGTATATAAGGAGGGCTGAGATGAAAGAGAAAAAGGGGAGAGAACGTAGCGAGAGAGACTTCTTCTTCTTCTTCTTCTTCAGATTTCTAGAGTGAGAAAGTGACGAACAAGAAAAGAGGAGAAGTTAGGGTTTCATCCAAGAGCAAAGTTTGGGAATTTCTTCCTCCAAGGTTGATCTCCGCACCACAAGGAAGAAGACAAACATCATTAAGATGGTTTTCTCTCTTCTTCTTTGTGTATTCCCTCTACTTAGCATGGAGTAGTCCTTTCTTTCACTTGGTTGTTTGTAAACCCAGCTATAATATGTGAATGCTTGTATGGATTGAATGACTTATGCGTAGTTGTGTTTTAATACAAGTTATGAGGTATTTACATGAAGGTTGTGTCGTGTTTTTGCATTTCCAACTTTTATGCCATTTTGACCTAGGTAGAGGGAAATCCCCTTCTTGCTAAGAGGCTTGTAAAAGCTAGAATTTCTTGGCCAAATTGTGTCACCTACTTAGGTTGAATTATGACAAACCTCTTAATACGTATTAGCACCTTGAGTAGGTTGTGTTTTGGTCGTCCGGACTACAGTTCGAGGGAGAAGCCTAAGCAACCCTTAGTCAATTGGCCAAGAGAGTTAGGGGCACGGTTGATTAGGTCGAGTCTTGAAAATCTGAGAAATGCCCTATTTTTCATCAGTTCATGGTTTTAGCCCCATTATCACGGCTGTCAGGCCGTGATAAGGAGGCAAAGATTGTGAACAAAGTCTAGTCCCAGTTTTTTGAAGTGCACCGTATTTACCCGAGTTCACGGTTCTAGAGTTATTATCATGGTCTTAACGACCTTGAAAATCAACCCCCATCCATATGAACCTCGTGCTATATAAGGAGGCGTGAACCCTTCTTCTTCACTTCACGCCCATTCTCGTCGGAAATCTCTGAAATCCATGGTAAAGGAAACCGTACCGGAAGTCATACCGGATCCGCTAGTGGTAGGGTATTTTGTGGTACTACCGTGGTTCAGTCGTTGTGTACCAGCAAAATACCGTTTTTGTAATTAAATAATATTTTTTGTTAAAAAACCGTATCGACAGATTCAGGATACCGTTTCGGAATATACCGGAATAAAACCGGAACATACCGGATAACAAACCTGAATAAACTAAATAGGTAGTTTTAATATAACAATCAACAAACTGCAACATTGCTGAATTAACTACATAATCGTTCAAATGCATGTTTACGATCGAGTACAAAACAACCAAACAACATTCTTAAACCACAAGTTCAAACAACATTCTCAAACCAAACAACATTTCCTTTTCGTTCAAAGTACAAAACAACCAAACAACATTCTCAAACCACAAGTTCACAACTACCACAAACACAAACTAGCAAACACTACAATGTTCACAAACAACGTTTCATATCTTCAAACAACACCAAATGTAGATAAGTCTACATTCTGCAAGTCGTCCCCTTCATCTTCTTCATCACCAACTACAATACAAGAGAAAACAAGTAAGAATTATAATCAATTATTAGTATTAGAATTCATATAATACATAATTGATTTACAAACAAACCTTCCTCTTCTAATGCTCGATCCAGCTCATCAATATCCAATTCCTTTTCCCTAGAAGATGAACCTTCTTCCCCTTCTGACAACCAGTGACTAGTAATAGTAGAATCAATGCTTTCAAGGCTTATGGGATCATATGATTCTTTTTTGTTCTTGGTATAATACTCCCTAATCAAAGTAGAAAACATAAAATAATTCAATTCAATAGTAAGCATAGAAAGTATGAATTCAACACACAAGTTCTATAATTCAAATCATTACCTATTCTGCAATCACAAGTTGTAATTCACAAACACCAAGTTACTAAGCACTTTATGCTGCAATCTGTTTCTTCTTTTCGTATGCACACGTTCAAAGACACTCCAATTACGTTCACAACCAGAAGAAGCAGCAGTTTGGCTAAGAATTCGAATAGCCAACTTCTGAATATTTGGAGCATCAATGCCAAACCATTTCCACCACTTATCTACATATAAAGCATATATGTTAATTTCTTAAATATTGTAATAAATAGAAGAACTTCAATGCAAGTGATATCAATTACCTAGTTGTTGTTTCTATGCAGAATCTATTGCCATCTTCCTCCCAAAGTTTCCTTTCTTTTCAGCATACAAAATCATCTCCGCCACCACCACAATATTATCAAGACATAAAGACGAGTTCTCAAGAAGATTAAGAAGTCCAAATGTAACTGCCCTATCCTCTGTCCAATCATCAGCATACTTAATAGCCAGATTAAGATAGTGAGCTGCCATAAACAAATCACGGCTCAAGTGCTTATCCCATCTCCTATTAACGATATCCATGTAGGGTTTGTACATGTTCTCCTTGTATCCACAAACAGTCTTAATAGCATTTGACACCCTAGTCATCCCATCATACACATACCCCATTGCTGGTTTACTATCTGAATCCACAACTCGAAGCAACTTGACAATTGGAGCTGTCAACTTAACAATGAAGTCACAATCAGCCCAAAACTGTTGATCAAGTACAATTGCCTTCACATCCTTTCCATCCTTAGTACTTGAAAGATCACTTTTTCTAAAGAACTCACTAATCACCAGTTCCTCCAAATCATGCATGTGCTCAAAAGTACTCTGCAAACTCAGAAATGTAGTAGCAAATCTAGTAGCACCAGGTCTCACTATTTTTTCCAATTCTCCTTTGTCTTCAACCAGAAATAAATTGGACCATGATTGTAAACAAATTTGGAGACCTTGGTAGCTCAATAGGCAAGCTTCTTAAAATGAGGAATAGATCCAATGTCACTCAAGATCAAGTTAAGAGTATGAGCAACACAAGGAGTCCAATATATATGACCATAATGCTCATGTATCATTGTCCCTGCCAATTATAGTTGGATGCATTATCGGTCACCACATGAACAACATTCTCCGCTCCAACCCAATCAATTACCTCACAAAATAACTTAAACAAGTTCCTTCCACTCTTGACCAAACCAGAAGCATCAATGGACTTCACAAAGCATGTTCCAGCAGGAGAATACACAAGAAAATTGATTAAGGATCTACGCCTATTATCCGTCCAAACATCCGCCATAATAGTGCATCCAGATTCCTTCCAATGAGACCTCAAACTCTCAATCAATAGGTGATATTCATTCACAATGCTATCCAACAAAGTAAACCTCAAAGCATAATATGTTGGACCGCCATAACCAGGACCAAGAGTCATAGAAGCATCCAATGCTATTTTAAATTGTGGAGATTTAATTGCTTATAAAGGAACACTTGCATCATAGAACCATCTAGACCATGCTCGATCCACATACAATATAGCTTCTTTAGTTGCTAAGGCACTCTTTATTCCCGGTTGACTACCGGAAGATGACCGTGGAGCAAAAAAAGTGTCAACCGAACCCGTAGACACATTAGGAGCAACTCTTTTAGCACTATTATCATCTTGTGCACTAGAAGAATTTGTATCACGAGGTTCTTTAAATCCAGCTTTGACAACTTCAGATTTCTTCTTACTAGTTTCATAACTAGTCAATAGCTTTTGCATGTTTTGGCTCACCTCTTCCGGAACCATTGAGCATCTTGCATTATCCACACTAACACCAGCTAGATGTTTTTTCATTCTAGTGATTCCTCCGCCTCTAAATTCTTTTTGACAATAGAGATAAGTGAGTACCTCCACTTTTCCAATCTGATGCAAGGAACAATGAGCCCAAGTTGGATCACTTTTGCTTCGTACACCCTTTGCGGTAACCTTCAAATTACTAGGAGTTGCTCTTTTATCAACTGATCAGGCTTCTTCCCCACTAGCCATTGTTGCCAAAACAGTCAAAATTCTCATTAGAATAAACCTAAAACGAAAAGGAAAGCCCATAATCATAGTTCAAAATTCAAATATGAATGCAGCCATGTCTCTGTGCTCTCTTTAATTCCTAGTTCTACTTCTACACTTCATTCGATCCAAAACTGATACTGGCTTGCAATTGGGTGGATCAATTTTCTAAGATTAAGGTTGTCTTTGTATGGCAAATAGTTAAGTAAGAAAGAACGACAGTAGTAAGTATAATACTTTTGCTTTTGGCAGCTGCGTTTTCAAGGCGGATGTAGTGGTGCTAGTGAGCAAGAAACTCTACATTCGCATATCTACTTCTACCAACCAATTCGTTTAATTTATCATCACACATAATATAAAGAAACTTGGACTATTTGCGGTAGTGGAGGGCAATTGGGACAGAGTTCGTTTTCTTCTGATATAATATGGGTTCTTCTCTGTTAATTGCGTTTTGGGTTGTGCCGTTGTGAAGAATTCAAGAATCTTACCTATGTCCTATGTCGCGCGTTCTTGAACAGTCAACACTGGAGGAGCGGAGGCCGGAGAGGAGCAATAGAGGGGCGGAGAGGAGCGGCGTAGAGGAGCAGCAGAGGCCGGAGAGGAGCAACGGAGCGCCGGAGAGGAGCAGCGGAGCATATCAGGTCGGTGGAGCGGAGCAAAGCAGGGAGCGCGGCGTGTTGCCTTGCCGCCGCTCGCTGGTCATGGGCTCGGCGGTTCCTGGTCGCCGGTCGCCAGAGGAGAAATGGAGAAGAGGAGGAGCGCCGGATCGAACTAAAGAAGAAGAGGAGAACTGGAGAACTGCGAAGAAGAAACGAACGCGGCGACTGTGTTTCGTTTGATTGATTAGGGTTTTGACAATATGACTTCGTTTTTTGTGTGTGCTAATATGACGACGTTTTCTTTCCATTACCCTGCCCCCGGTTAGACCAAAACCGGACGGTATTTCGGTTTAAACCGTTTAAACTTTTTAAACCGGCCGACGCGATATTCTGCACCCAAGCACGGTGTCGTATCTCCCATGCTCTGGTTCCCGGTTTTATCGGTTCAACCGGCCGGTACGATCCGGTTTCCTTTATCATGCTGAAATCTCACCAAAAACTCCGACAACTGTCATTTTTCATCGATTTCGGCGGCTTCAGACTACCCAAACCAAAATCCAATACTAGACCCACTATCCCTCGTGCAGATGAGCCTTCGCTGAACTTTTGGAGCGATTTGGATCAACTTTTTTTTCCGGTGAGGCGAGTTTCGGCGTGCTTCTGACGAAGCTTCAATGAGCCTCCCTGACTAGTTTTTCGTGCATTTTTCGACTCCTTCGCCACCTCCTCACCTTCCTCTTTGATCCTACTTGAGTGTCCACGTGTGCTTTGAACTTTTACCTTGTTAATTTTTGAGAATCAGATTAGGGTTCTAGGTGAGGGGATTTTGTGATTTAATGCATAAATGTTGAAATTAGGCGAGAGGTTAGTCGATTAATGTTGTTTGAATGTTGCATGAGGTGTTGTTGACCTTAATTGAGCCTTGGTGGGCACAACATGCGTATGATTTGTGTTGAATTAAAGGAAAAATGTCCACCAAGTGCAATATATGAATGAATGTCCATCCACATTTGTGAATGATGGTTGGTGGTCATCGAGGCATGGTTTAGGTTCGAAATTATTTTGATCGATGAACTATGAATCACCTAGAACCATGATTCGATGTGCATTGTCTGAAATGAGCTTAAATGTTTAAAAATCGATCTTGTGCAAAGCCTTGAAGACATATAATCATAGTGGGATCTTAAGTGTGAAGGGACTTCTTTTTTTCCCCATCGATTTGATATTGACGAAATGTTTCCACGTATGGTGTATGGTTTTGATGTTTTGTAGGATGGTTGACACATACCATCTGTACATTCATTATTTGGTGAATCATCATAATTACGGGAATATGTTCGAGCCGTAGAGGCACACATAGTAGGACCCCACTAGTACCTGAACATGAACATGTTCACCCAGTTCAGGTACCGGGCGGCAAAGTCTGGGGTACTCATCCATCCACACTAGCGAAGTCTGCTATCTGTGGACGAGCTCATATACAGAGAGCTCTGTGTGGAGTTCTACTCCACCTTTATCCATGAGATGCCTAGCAGCAAACGGAACAAGTGTACTTGGAGTTCATGCTGGGAGGTCAGCATCACGTGCTGACCTATGTCGGGTTTGGTCAGGCCATGGGCCTCGACACCACTTCCATGACGATGACAGAGCGGGAGTACACCAAATACTTTCAATACTGGGAGGCATACTGGGCCATCTGCCTGCCGGAGTATAAGGACCACCAGTTCCGAGCCTCCAACACGAATGCAATGAAGTTTCGGACACCATGGAGAATCCTGCATATGCTGCTTACCTGGTCGGTGATCCCCAGTCTATAGTCCGGGCATATGGTCACCAACAGAGGATTGATCGCCCTCCACACCTTGAGCCGACCCACATCATTACTTCATCTAGTATCACTGGTTGCTACCATCTTCTCGAAAGTGTCGGGTCGTGACTGAGTGGACACGATGCACTTGGGGGCATCATTACGAGGATTTCGGATACTTCGGAGTCGACACCACGGGCTGCGCCATCATTTGCCGAATGGAGCCTAGCCCCGTCAAGACCTTGCATAATATGAAGCTGATCCGGGGAGAGAGGGGCGTGGAGTACCTTGAAGGACTCCTACTGGCCACATGTTGAGCCTGCAGCGATGGAGCTCGATCCAGCAAAGGTTCCACCTACTCAGCCACCCCAGCGCTGCCGTCGTCACCCTGCACCACCACCATTCTCTTCATCGACAGAAGCAGTTCCCTCCACATCCGTAGTCCACCTCGAGGACCGAGTCACTCACCTCAAGGAGCAGTTCACAGGGGTCTCCACGCAGTTGGATAAATCCAACACCTTACTAGATCAGATGGCTCGACGATAGGGTGTCTTGTCAGACGATGATAAGTGATCATCTTCGACTAGTCAACCGAGTGAGACATGTGGCAGAGTCAATTTCTTTCGCCCCACTTCTCCACTTGAAACTCTGAACCTTGTTATTTTCCTTTTCTTTAGTGTGTGGACAAGTACTATTGTGAGTTTTTCTTTATTTTAATCGTGATGTGGAATATTGTTATGTGTAATAACCTCTCCTCGAGCGAGAATGTGTGTGTGTTTGTGTGTTTGCTTCTTCTCTTTGAAGCTCAAATCTCCTACCCCTGAACTTGTCCAACTTTTACTTGCCAATTGTTCGGTAACTTCTTCACCCTACCCTTTTTCTACATTGAGGACAATGTCATGCTTAAGTGTGTAGGGATGTATAAATTGGAATTGGCATGTGTTTTGTGTGTGATGCTTGATCAAAGTGGTCAGTTCGTGTGAGGATACCGTGTTATTGGCATTAACCTTGAAGTGATTGCTTGTGATCGAGTGCATCCTATTATGATGGTTGAGAATTGTATTAGGTTGGTGCAAATGTTTAGTTCTCATGTGTGTGCAAATGAATGGATGTCTTGACTTGATTACTCTTTGATTACAATTGTCATGCATCAAAATTTGTGAAATTGGAATAGATGATTGGGTGATTAGATAGTCATGTGAGATTTGTGTCGATCGTTTTTTTCATGTGTGATAGATCCCTCTTACTATGACGAGTAACATTCACGTTGTCACTAGTGGGTATGATGGAGGCATAGGATTAGTCCAACCCCAAAAGTTGATTGTCCCGAAACATCTTATCCCTAGTCAACCCCTTTGAGCCGTGTGACTTTGGGTGATTCTCATTTTAGGAGCTTGTGCTTTTTGAGCTTAATGGTGATTTATAGAATGACCCTTTCCTTTCTTCGAGTCTAAACCGTTTTGAGTCATCCTTGTACCTCAGATCTCTCGCTTTTGAGCTCCATTGAGGTTCTACATAGGTAGATTTTGCACGATTCCTGCTAGGAATGAAAAGGTACTGTTGGAGGAAGTTCTTAATAGAGAGCATTGTTCGTTAAGTGCTAAAGTGGCATGTGTTTAGCTCTCTAGCACCCCCAATAAAAAAAGAGAAAAAGATAAAGGAAAGTGGAACAAAAAAAATCGAAAAAGAGGTAATAAATGGGGTAAATAAAAGTTAGCGAGTTGCTACAAATGATGATGTTTTTGATCTAGAAAGGGTTTCTTGGCACTCAAATCATTGAAACACCCAATTGTTTGTTGACCTCCTTCACTACTATAATTGAAATTTGGATAGCAGGGTTAGCCGATGATAGGGGTGGCAGAACGGTTTTCGGTTAGCAGTTAACCGGACGGTTTCAACCGAACCGACCGGTTTTCAGCTAACCAAAAAACCAGTTCTGATGGCAACGTTCAGTTGGCGGTGGAGATGGGAAGAGGTTCGGCTAGCCGACTGACCGGGGTCGGAAACCGGCGGTTAACCGGCTAACCAACCCCTTCCCTTTCCCCAAAACGACCCCGCTCCATTCCTCCTCCTCCCTAACCCTAATTCTCGTGCGTCGACTCCCTCCCTCCCAATTCCTTCGACCTTCGCCGCTGACCCCTTCCTCTTTCTCGCGCAGCGGCGCAAAAAAACCCCTGCCGCCTGGCCCGCCTCCAGCCCTCCACCTCGTCGCCCCGCCGCCTTACTCTCATCGCCCCTCCATCAGCAGCAGCCGGGCAACAACCCCGCCGCCTCCACCCTCGTCGCCCCGCCACCTCCACCATCGTCGACGTTGACCCTCGTCGCCTCCAACCTCGTCGCCCTGCCTCCTCCACCCTCGTCGCCCCGCCCCCTCCAGTCCTCCACCAGCAGCAGCTCGTCGCCCTCCGAACGCCGCCAAGAAGATTCCCCGTTGCTGTGCTGCAATTATGTATGTTAGTAGAAATTTGATGATGATTTTGATTTTTGAATGTTGATGAATGAATAAATGATGATTGAATATTGATTATGAATGTCGAATGATGATTTTGGTGGATTGGTGATGATTTTGAATGATTGATGATGATTATTGATTAGTGATTGAAATGTAGGTTTGAGCTTTTAATTTTAGGTATTTTTTTTTGTTTTTGTTTTTGCTGAATGATGAATGATTTAGAAATTTACAATGATGACTCATAGTGAATGATGATTGATTTATGAATGAATAATGATGATTTTGGTGAGTGATGATGATTTTGTGTAACTGTTGATGTAGGGCGAGACCTCCGGCTCCACGTGGTGGACATGGCGGTCGAGGTGCACCTTTCGCTGAGACTGTTTCTCGTGGTGGGAGACCTCCGGCTCCTCGAGGTTGTGGTGGTGCAAGTGCCTCAGCTCCTCCTGCTCAGAATCGGGGTCGTGGTGGACGTATAGGAAGTCGCCTATTCAGTCTGCTGAACCGTCGGCCTCGTCATCAATTGCATCGACTCCCGCCCATGCCGGCAGTGGAACTACACCTGCTGCTGAAACTCATTCAGTAGAAACGGTTAATCCTGCTTCAAATAAAGTTAAAGACGATCCCTTCAATCTAGAGAAATGGTTGGAGATAAAGAGTACAACTAATTGCTGGAAGGATTTTACGAAGGTGGCAGTGAATGAGTATCCGATGGGAGAGTGCAGGCATTGTCATACTAAAATCAAAGCACATCCATCAAAGAACGGCACTTCTACAATGAATAACCATCGGAAATCATGTTTGGCTAAGGTTGCAGCATCCAGGGATCAGATTGTTCTGAACTTGCATGCCGTAGATGGTAGTCAAAGTCAAGTAAGTGCTTTATGGAAGTTTGATCAAGCAAAAGCAAGATATGCCTTAGCCATGATGATTATTATGGATGAGTTGTCTTTTCTCTTTGTGGAAAGAGAAGGGTTTAAGCAGTTTATGCAAACTATTCAGTCACTCTTTAAGATACCCGGGAGGAGAGGTATAAGAGATGATTGCTTTCATATATTCTTGGAGAAAAAGATGAATTTGATAGAGTTTTTTTTAATCAAAGAGCAAAGGCAGAGTTTCAATCACCACAGATACATGGACATCTGACAACAACAAAAATTACATGTGTGTGACTGCTCACTTTGTTGGAGTTGATTGGAAGTTGCAGAAGAAGGTTCTCTCCTTTGTTCCCATCACAAGTCATACAGGAAATGATATTGCAGAGAAGCTTGCAGAAATTCTTGAAGAATGAAAGGTGAAGAATCTGTTCTGCATGACCATGGACAATGCATCTACAAATGATATTGTGAGTGATTGCATGCGAAGGAAATTAAAGGAGTGGGGGTGTGATTTGATGGATGGGAAGTATCTACAGTTTTGCTGTGTCGCACACATCATTAATCTGGTGGTGCAGGATGGATTGAAAGTAATCGGATGAGCCGTGGATAGTGTTTGGGACTGTGTGAAGTGGGTGAGGTCATCGCCAGCTAGGTTGGCAAGGTTTAAGACTGCCATGCAATTTCTGGAGTTGGATTCTACCAAATTGGTGTGTTTGGATGTACCGAGCAGGTGGAACTCCACCTATATCATGTTAGAAGCAGCATAAAGGTTTGGTGGAGTGTTTACCACTTTGTATACAAGTATACAAGATCATTCCTTCAGGGATTATGTTGACGCAAGAGGTGGTCTTCCAACTAAACAAGATTGGAGTCTGATTAGTAAGTTGATGAAGTATCTGAAAGTCTTTAATGACTTTACCCTCCTAGTCTCGGGTAAGTGAAATTTTTGCTCACTTTGTTTATTTTAATTTGATCATTTGACAATTTTGGTTTGTTTGTCTAATTTCCTGTATTCTATTCTCATTTGTACAGGAACTAAATATGTGACTACCCATCTTTTCTTCAAGAAACTTGTTCCAATTTATGACATCATTCAAGAATTGAAGAATTATCCGCGTGAAGAGCTAAAAAATATGGCAGAAAAGGTTGAAGAAAAGGTACAAAAGTATTGGTTTGACATGCCTGTCATAAATGAGGAGAATCCTCAGGTGAATCATTTAATTTATATAGCATGTGTGCTTGATCCTAGAAGTAAACTTGATCTGGTGTCTGAAGTGTTGGCAATGATTTATGGACGTATTAAAGGAGGGGAAATTCACGCTACTATTAAAAGGGAGATGCACCAGATGTTTGAGATTTATAAGAGGAAGTATGGATCAGAGTCTGCATCTCAGCCTACCACTGATGATAACATTGTTGATGATGGTTCTGTTGATGGTGCTGGTGATCGGATTAAGATATTGGAGGAGAGGCTTAGAAAGAGAAAAAGGGAAGCACTTCTGCTGGAAACAAGAGGTAGCTCTCCTGAGCTTGACATCTATTTGAAATGTCAAACTGATGGCATCAATGAAGAGAGTGATGATGCAAAGTTTGACATATTGGAATGGTGGTCTCGACACTCTGGAATATATTCGATTGTTGCTAAGATGGCTAAGGATGTCCTAGCTGTTCCCATCTCTTCTGTTGCCTCAGAGGAAACATTCAGTTGTGGCGGGCAGATTCTCAGTCCATTCAGGTCCTCTTTGAGCGACATAATGGTGGATGCATTGATTTTTTATGAGGATTGGATAAGGTATCCCGAATCCAGGGAGATTGACGATAAGGAAGATGATGAAGAGAATTTGACTTTGGAAAGTAGTGAGTTCTCAAACTTTCTTATTGTTCAGTTTTTTTGCCTTCTTTCCACCTAATTCAATGTATAAATGTACTAACACTTTGTTTTCCTTTTTTTTTTTCTTACTCAGTTAATGTCACTTTCCAAACTAGAATGGAAAGTGCAATGAATACTGCAATGTTGGCAATGCAGATGCAAGCCTCAACATTCCAGTGGAGAATGAGTAGGAGGGTGAAGAAGATGTACTGGAGGAAGAGTATCAGAAAGATGGATATGATGATTATGGTCATGACTTGTTGCCCCAATTGAACGAACAGGGTTATGCAGATGTTGGTTCTTCTAAGGCTGGTGATAAGTGATGATAGATTATGATGTGTTGTTGATTTGTTGTTATCTAGAGGATTTATTGTGATTTGTGGAGTTTATGTTGTTGAATTAATGAATGTGAGACATTAAGTTGCTAATTTAGATGTATTTTCGATGCAAAAGGAATTGAAATGTAGGTTTGAGATTTTAATTTTAGGCGATTTTAGGTTTTCTTCCCTTGCTGTCCGGTCGGTTTTTGCCGGTTACCGGTCGGTTTTTGCCGGCTAGCGGTCGGTTAGGCAGCTCCAACCAAACCGGCCTTCAAATTTTGGTTGCCCCAGTTAAACAGCGCCTAAACCGAAAACCGGACTGTTGGTTTGCGGCTAACCGAGGATGATGGGATGGTCGGTCGACGGTAGCGGTTGGTCATGTCTCGGTTAAACCGAAACCGACCGATCGCCACCCCTAGCGGAGAAAGTGTGCTTGAATGTAGTTCATGGTTGGTGATAGTTTGGAAGAAAGGAAGTGTGGTTTTTGGACGATGCTAGTGGTTGTTGGTTGTAGGAAAGGTTCTAGTCGACACCATAGAACCTTTAGTTTTAGGACTAAGATGTGGAACCTAATGCTTTGCTTGCCACCACCCAAAAGGCATTTTCCCCATGTCCAAGACCCTTTCTAGCCATTTAGAGGTTGTCTCCATGGTGAAGAGACGACAAGGCTGAGTGTTGATGATTGTGCACATCTTTTGCACCAAATGGTCCTGACTCGACTAGTCGAGAGTGAGTGATTCATTCACATTTTACATGTTCATATCTTATCCCAGTTAGGACCTATGTCGTCCATTTGTTTGTTCCTTGGACTTGAACTTTATGCATGTTTAATTGTGCTTGGTGAGTAGTTTTGTCTAGACTTGTATTAATTTGAGAACACAGTGAGAACTTGTCGTTTGCATGTTCTTAATGCATTCGAATGTCGTTTGTGGTGGATGCCGATATTGCTTGTAACGGTTCATGTGTTGATGCCCAATAGCCATTGAGATTCACCCGCTTTGAGCCCTTTGATATGTCCCCAAGTTATCTTGTTAGGTTGAGATATTACCTTGTTTGGAAATGGTTTGCTTGGGGACAAGCAAACGTCCAAGTGTGGGGCAGTGATTCGAGTCTAATTGTACACATTTTACCCCCATTTTCCCTAGATGTTTGAGGCACTTTGACTTTGTAGGTTCGGTTTTACGCTAGGTTGTGGTTGTTTTTAGTATGTTTTAGATCCTAACTGGTGAAATCAACCCATGGAACGAAAGTTGGACAAAAAGGGGCAAAAACCGGTCAAAAGGGAGCAAACAGCAATAGTTCACGGTGGAGGCCAGAAGATCATGTTCAACTAGACTGTGAAGAAGTGGCGCATACCATGAAGCACATAGAGTCCAAGACGATTTTGTATACCTCGCGGGCGTTCAGCAGTTCACGGTCACCCGACCTTAAGAACCAACTCCAGACCATGAAACGCCTTAGTGAAACAACGCGTTTTTGCTTGACATCACCGTCCAAGCCCAATGTTCACATCCATGAACTGGGATCGCAAAATGTTGTCGATCTGGCATATAAGGAGGGCTGAGCTGAAAGAGAAAAAGGAGAGAGAACCTAGAGAGAGACTTATTCTTCTTCAGATTTATAGAGTGAGAAAGTGACAAACAAGAGAAGAGGAGAAGTTAGAGTTTCATCCAAGAGCCAAGTTTTGAGAATTTCTTCCTCCAAGGTTGATCTCCACACCACATGGAAGAAGGCAAACATCATCAAGATGGTTTTCTCTCTTCTTCTTTGCGTATTCCCTCTACTTAGCATGGAGTAATCCTTTCACTTGGGTGTTTGTAAACCCTAGATATAATTATATGAATGTTTGTATGGATTGAATGATTTGTGTGTGGTTGTGTTTTAATAAAAATTATGAGGTATTTACATGAAGGTTGTGTCGTGTTTTTGCATTTCCAACTCTTATGCCATTTTGACCTAGGTAGAGGGAAATCCCCTTCTTGCTAAGAGGCTTGTAAAAGCTAGAATTCCTTGGCCAAATCGTGTCACCCACTTAGGTTGAATTATGGCAAACCTCTTAATACGGATTAGCACCTTAAGTAGGTTGTGTTTTGGTCGTCCGGACTACGGTTCGAGGGAGAAGCCTAAGCAAGCCTTAGTCGATTCGCCAAGAGAGTTACCTTGGTAGCTTGATTCGAAATCCCTTAGCCTAGTGACCGAGAGGGTGACACTTGTTCACTTGTTGTGCTTCCCTATGGTTTACAACCGCCTTTACCACACATTTGTACTCAATCCAACAAGTCATGATTACTAGCCAGGGGGAGCAACACCCGGGTGATGCCTTCTCAATTAGTGTTCAAACCATTTACTTTTCCAATCGCTTTAGCTACAACCCATAGTTTTAACCAAAAACCATTTGCTAGATAATGTTTCAAACAATTGAAGTAGGGGTACATGGAACGACCCAGGTTTGACTTTTAAGACATACTTGCCCTATATTGCACCCGGTTTAGGTTTATACTTGGGCCTTAATCAGGATTTTTATTGTGATATTCAGTGTTAATCTAGCGTTTACTTTTTGTTTTGTGAGTGTGAATCTTGCTTGTGTTAGACGAGTTGTGTTTATTTGAAGTGTGTGCAGGAGGGTGTATGACCTAGAGTAATCCGATACCTTTAGCGCCACTAGACGAGAAGTTGTAGTGTGTGCAGGAGGGTGTATGACCTAGAGTAATCCGATACCTTCAACCGCACTCTCCGACTCTTGGCTCGTGAGAGGAAGCTGGAAGAAGCAAGGAGAAGCATTGAGGAGAGGGGAACCACAAGTTGGTCCCGAAGTTGAAGAAGTTGTAGTTGAGGAAGAGTTTGAATCGGAGGAAGAGGAAGAAAGTGAAGCCGAGATGGCGGATAATCAAAATGCTCAAGAGGGAGCTGAGGAACAGAGGACCATGGGATACTATATAGATCCACGGGTGTCGGATATCCAACCAACCATATTGCATCCACCCGTGGCCACCAACAATTTCGAGATCAAGCCCAGCCTCGTCACAACGATCCAAAACAATGTGCAATTCCATGGGCTTAAGGACGAGTCTTCGAGAGAGCATATCCAGAGGTTCGTCGAGATTGCTAGAAGTTTGAAGATTAATGGGGTGCCGGAAGAGGCTTTGAAGTTGAGGCTTTTCCCGTACTCTCTTTTGCAAGGAATGCGCTCAGGTGGCTCAACAATAGACCACCTCTCTCAATTACCTCATGGGACGACTTGCTCAATAAGTTCATGGCCCGATATTGTCCACCTTCTAAGACGACAGAGTGGCGCAAGAAGATCACCCATTTCGCTCAAGAGGAGGATGAGTCATTGAGGGACTCATGGGAGAGGTACTCCGACTTTTTCCTCCAATGCTTACATCACGATTTGGAGAACGATTCTGGATTGAGACCTTCTACGACGGTCTCCTCCAAGAAGACAAGATTCTCATTGACTCTCTATGCCAAGGGAAGTTGATGAACAAAACTCCACTCGAGAGGATCACTTTGCTTGAAGATATGGCGACAAAGGGGTATGATTGGGGCTTGACGAGACGTGATGGAAGGGATGTCAAGAGAGGAGTACACTCCACGGAGGCAAGACCTCCGCTCTCCACAAAGATTGATCAATTGACCAATGCACTTCTTGAAGATAAGAAGCAAGGGAAGAAGCCATCGATGGCATGTGATTGGTGTTTGAGTACCAACCATGAGATTTCATAGTGCTAATTGATGAAGGAAGCAAGCACCCCCCGAGGAGAAAGTGAGTTTCATCGCCAATGCTAGGGGAACAACAATCCCTATAGCAACACTTCCAACCCAGGGTGGCGAAACCATCCAAACTTCGCTTGGTCTTCTCCGAGGAAACCAAGACCCCCCGGTTTCCAAGGTCCGAAGGGAAATTATCAACCAAGGCATCCTTTCATTCAACCGACAAGAAATTAGCAAGTGGTTTTGTTCAATTGGTGATACAACTGATTTGTATCGGTTCATTCCAGTTTAACAAAATATGTAGACATATGAAAAATCTTTAACATAAAATAAATTTAATCATATACAAAATATATTTGAAGACAATTTACTTACAATCTATATTCAACTTTAAATAAAATTTGACATTCCAAATAAAATAACAAATACTCATATTTAAATACAACATTTAACGTCAATACCTAAACATTTATACTTGAATCAAACAGTAACATTAACATTCAACTTTTAAACTTAATAAACATTTTTTTATTAATTAAATATACAAAAACGACATCTTATTGTATAGAGGTCTCAAATCCATCATGCTAATTATATCGATGATGTTCAAATTGATTTCATAACTAGAACCGATTAAACCAGATTCAAACGACCAACATTGCACCGAGAATTTCGTACACAAGACTTCTTTTTAAACACATAACCTATTTTCTCTACAATCTCTTTATTTTTTATTTTTTTGAAAAAGACAATCTCAAAATTTTCGTTAGCAAAATGTAACCATTTTGCTGCCATTTATGGGCCAGTTTTTTTTTCCATAGATATTCCTAAAGAGGAACAGTAAAATACGAAGTATAGTACAATATACATGACCTTTATAGGTCAAATCACAAAATAAAAATGAAAAAACCTTTACAAGTCTGACAAAATAGGGCTTTCCTGTCACGAAATGGGCTGCTCTATCATACCTCAACGGCATGGGAAATATCATTTAATAGATTATAGTAATTCGTTTATGCAAGCTTTGTTTAGTCGATTAATGCAGTCCAACTTATCAACCAGAAAAAAATTAATTCAGTCCAAACTCCAAAGGCAGAGCATGAAACCTCACGACTGGTCTTATGCCCTAGAAAGATACCCATCTCCTCCTCCGGTTTGTCCTCCATCAATTCACCAAAAAACTCAAATCTTGCCATCTGTCTCCCTCATGTTTCGCGGACTTTCCGTTTCCTTCTCCTTCTCCCGCGCCCCCACTCTATCCTCCCCGCTTTTCCTCCACCGCCAACCCTCCGCCATCCCTCGCCGCCCCCCAGTCCGCCGGAAATCAAAACCTTTCTCCTCCAGTTCCACCCAAGTTCGCTGCTTTTCTCCCACTCCCAAGATGGGCGAAACCTGGAACCCAAAACCCACAATCCCAGTCATCGAGAAGGCCACCAAGCCGGAGCTATTCCGCGCCCTGGAGTCCGCTCTAGGTTCTTCGTTCTCCGGCGACCCAATTACCCCGCCGCCAAACCCTCTCATCATCGTGATCAGCGGGCCGAGCGGCGTCGGGAAAGATTCGGTGATCGGAAAGTTGAGGGACTCGAGGGGGGAGAATTTGCACTTCGTGGTCACTGCTACCAGCAGGCCGATGAGGCCCGGGGAGGTTCACGGCAAGGACTATTACTTTGTATCCAAGGAAGAGTTTTTGGATATGAAGGAGAGGAATGAGCTCTTGGAGTATGCGCGTGTCTATGGTGATTACAAAGGGATCCCCAAATCGCAGATTAGGGAGTTTATGGGTAGAGGGTGCGATATTGTGTTGAGGGTCGATATTCAGGGAGCTCACACGTTGAGGAAGAAATTGAAAGACTCTGCCGTGTTTATATTCTTGGTGGCAGAGAGTGAGACGAAGTTAGTGGAGAGGTTGATTGGTAGGAAGACGGAGAGTAAAGAGGATTTGCTTGTGAGGATTGCTACTGCTAGAGAGGAAGTGAGGCATGTGAAGAGTTTCGATTATGTTGTTGTGAATGCCGAGGGGAAGCTCGATGAGGCGGTGAAGTTGATCGAGTCGATTATCGATGCTGAGAAGGCGAGAGTTCGGCGGAAGTGTGCTGCAATTTAGCTGTGACAAACAAACAAAAGGTCTGTCTTTTTTTTGTGTTGTTGATTGTCTGGTTGATGCTGAGAACTTGATCCTTTTTGCGTGCATGGTTCCTTGTCTCCTAACTTATGGCTGCACTTGTGCAAATTCCATTTGTGTGGAATTGGAAGGGAAAAGGAGAATCTGAAATATTTGGCAGTGATGAATAGATGCTTTCGCCAATTGATCCAGTTATGGTTCTGGTGGAAAAAGTTTATCGTACTTTCTCTTTTTGATATAATGGCTCCAGTGATGTGTTCTATTTTGTCCTCCAACACTTAGACCTATGCCTTCGTTCAAGCTTCTGGACAAAGGAGAAGTTTTCCTTTTTTTTTATCTGTATTCTAGTTCAGGGGTTCTAGTTCATTGGTCAATGCAATATGTCAGGTGTGGATCAGGTAAGCAATTTTGGTTGAAAAAATTCCCACTTCTTATTTAGAAGGTTGTTGAGAGCAATCACATCAGAAGACAAGAAACTGCATGAAGCCAGGAAGTGATGGTGGGACTAGCAGGAGAAGCATTCAAGTTCATGACCCCTCAGAGCTTCAATATCTTCTCTGGAACTGTTGGGATGAGTCGTCGTAGCTTATGCATCCATTCGTTGGTGGAAACTGCAATGGAGTTGCTTGTGGCACAATGAAGTGTTGATGATAGAGACTCTGTAAAATAGATATTGAAGGAATTCTCAATTACAAATGTATGTACTTATACTGGTGTTTTATACAATTATGTTTTAAAACTTTGTTTTATTGATTTAGCTCAATTTGAAGCAAGGATAAAAGGCGGGTCTGATTTATCAGGAATACCGGACTGGCATATAGGATAGCATCACATTCTACATGAATTATGAGATCCTTAAAAGTTGCAACCTTTGACAGAGTTTCCTGTCAAGAAAAGCATCTCCAATTGACCGTTTCCCGATACGATCCCGAGGTAACTGTTTTTGGCGCCTGTAACGGTTTTAAAAAAAAAACTCAACTCTGATCCACGGGAAAAAGGAGTAGAGAAGATCATCAAAGCACAAATTCAATCAAACAGCTCCACACGGCCACAGTGAGTAAATCATTACAAATGTCTTCCTTCTTCCTTCTCGTCAGAGGAATCAAGGGATGTAGCAGAAACCAAGATCAGCATCAAATGGGGAAAATGGGACAACATTGTAAAAAAAACACCTATCTTTCTCGTCTTCTGTTTCTTTTTTTCACTTTCTCAAGAGTGTATCTTTACACAAATCTGCTGGAAAAACCACCCTGATTCTATCTTTAATTACAGAACAAATGAATCTTCAACTTCAAACCGGGGAGCAGAAACCTCATAAGTTCGTCTTCCCCGTTCGTCTTTCATCATCGGTTGTTGTTTCTGAACAGGCTGAAATCCCAACGACGCATTAGACCATCCATAATGTTATGGTTCGTAGGGTTCCGTTCTACTGTTAGGGTCGCCTTTGTCTTACCTGACAAGTCGGTCACCACAATGCTGCCTGTTGATGAGGTGTCGCCACGTCTGGTTGCTGTCGTCGTTGATTCCTCAATGGAAGATGTGTGTTCTGCGCTCGAAGCTTCACCATTGCTCAATGAAGAAGAGGAAGTCGATTCTGCCGCTTTTGAAACCACTTGTAGCTTCTCCTCCTGTGAATCGCCAGTCAGGACATCTGGTGCAGCTGTTACTGCGGTACTTTGTGACGATTCTGTACCTGTGGAGCTTGCTGGTACATCCATGTCCTTTAATGATGCGATTATTGCTTCCATCAGCATCTGTAGATACAGAATGAGTTGAGGTCAAGATGGCATTAACATGGCTCTTCTTTTCAAATTTTGGCATAATATAAGCGTACGAATGAGTGCAATATAACTCACCCTTTCTTCCTCCTCCGCATTAGATGGGGCACCTGTCAAGTCATCCAGTTGGTATTCTACGTACTGATCATCATCTGGCCCTGTTGGAACATGTGAGCCATATGGATTGCCATTGGAGGACAAGTTGAAGCTAATCATTTGAGAAGACGACGATGGCACATGATCATTATCGTCAGTTTCCCCATCCTGATTCTTGGATTTGTCTTCTGTAGGTGGAATATCCGAGGGAACCTGACCAGACCGAAAGAACTCAGTAAACCATCAAGAGAAAGGACATAAGAGGATCATACAACGAAGAATCCAAATAGAAACCATGCTCATCAAGTAAACTTGAATATGTAATGCAGAGACTGCACCACAATTCATGCTTTTAATGAATACTTACTAATTCACACAACGAATTTAGCTTAATACCTCTATTTCATAACTTTTTGAATCAGATGTATAGCTTTGAGTATATAAAGTTCTCACAGAGTTGCTAATAGATTTGGGAAATTTTTTTTTACCTCAATCCGACTCATAGGTCTTCTCAGTCGGACTTGCTTGATAGCATCTTCTGTGCTGCTGTTTGTCGACGATCCTGCCACTGCCAAGTACATAAACAGGAAATCTGGTCAGATGCTGCCAACAAAACAAAAAATAAAAGAAAGAAACTTAGAAATAATGGATCATCATTGTAAAGTGAATACCTTTAGGTGAAACCGAAGATTCTGGGGTATGGCTTACGCCGTGGTGACTTTTCCGACTATGCTGAAGGTAGAACAAAAAAATATCAAAATTGGGAATGTTGAGCATATGAATGAATTGTAAAATCAATTAACCATATAGAAGGGTAGTGATTGGAGTGCAATTTACCTTACCAAAGTAATTGATCATTGTATCAAAATAAGGTCCTGCAATCTCATCGTCAGGAGGTTGCAACACATTGTGGAAAAATATGTTTATCGAATCAAAATAAAACTGTGGTCGTGGAGAATTGTGATCTCCTTCAAATTTGATGATATTCTTGTCTCCCTGCAAAATTTTTATGCATAAACATACCAAGTCCATGGAAGAAACCTACCATGTAGGCTTACTTACAGTCATATGAGACGTGAAAGACATGATTTAAACTTGTTAGTCATAGGAGGCAAACTTACCATGTACGCTTCATATATACGATCAGAATGATGAGGCTGTATGAAATCATCCTGAATTGCATGCCCAAATAAAGCTGGAACGAAGCAAGACTTGGCTACCTATAATGAAGATGCATAACAAAATGATGTACAGTAATACAAGCAAAATAGTTGGAGCTCACAAAAAAACTCGTCTATTTAGAACCATATACTAATGTATGTACTAAAGGGCAGAAAGGAAAAGGTTACCTTAATAGTGTTGAGATCCGTTATGTCAAACTTTGCTTTCTTCTGGATCGCTTTCCTCATGTACTGGATAGCAAATTTCACCTGAGAAGGAAACATGAGAGATTGGGTGTAAGGAAACAGTAAAACCGAGACTTGAACCTGGATCACTGATGCAGTCTCTCTCACGCCATTAGCAGACCATGACAAACCAGCCAATGTTCAAAACTGCTTACAGTGAATCTTGGAAAACGGAATTTATAGGTGTCCACGAGTTCCATCATCAAATCAACCAAATCAGAAAAGGGACTGTCCAGCACCATTCCGGCAATTGAAGGATCTTGTGCACCATACATTAGGCTGCAGCAGATAACTAGGTTGTTAGTAACTTATGTATATCACCAATTGTCCAGTATCTCTGTGATATTGGACTTGGACAATGCCAGGGAAGAATGGAAAATGGATATCTCCTACTACTTGAGGAAGGAAATAAAATCATGCCTCTGTGTTAACAATTGAAAATTCTGCACATGCTGATGATAAGAATAAGAAGAGAGAAACGGGGAAGGAGAACCTGGTGACAGCACCCATTGATCGGCCCCATAACCCAATCAAAGAGACATTTCCATCTTGTCTCAAGTAATCAACAACTGACTTCAGGTCATCTTTCTGGTAAAAACAGTAAGAGAAAATGTTAAACCATCAAAGAACCAAGAGAAGGGTATAGTAACCTCTCATGTAACAAAAATAAGATACCTAAAGCACGAATTATCTTGCCACTTACTTCATACCATCCCAGGGTAACATGATCTCCATCAGATAGTCCAGATCCAGCGAAATCAAGAGTGAAAACCGTGATATTTGAAGGCAAGAGTATGATAGCAGCTTCACTAGCATCAGCCCTGCACCCACTGCCCAAAGTAACAGAACCATGAAGATATGAATTCCAAAATAAGTCTAAAGATTATGTTTCACATAAATGGAATTTGCAATCAATTGATACACATCAAGGAAAGGAGCTGTTATAAATTACACAATGCAACAGTGTCATCTTCTCTATCGTAAACAGATATGAATTCCAAAATAAGTCTAAAGATTATGTTTCACATAAATGGAATTTGCAATCAATTGATACACATCAAGGAAAGGAGCTGTTATAAATTACACAATGCAACAGTGTCATCTTCTCTATCGTAAACACGAGTAGTACTAGATGCAGTTGATTCAACAAGGTGTCATTCCTCATTTACCTGTTTCCATGGCAATAAATTACGCAGGGCAGTGGCTTTCCTTCGGGACTCACGATGGGGACATAATGACTGCACTGAAGAATGTATCCTCTGTTGTTCTTAATCTGAATAATAGTTAGGAAACAATGCTGAATAACCATATATACTAAAACCAAATGAAAGAACCATGAAAGTTTTTCATCAATTCATAATAGATAAGCTTCCAATGGTTCACCTCAACATCCTTTCGCTGGTATAGTTTCCCTCCCAGCATGAACTCCGGCTCCAACAAATCATGTTTGGGACTGTATTCAGCTCTGCAGCCAGATAAATCTCAAATCATGCTCGTTCCCAATTTAGAAAATCTTAAGCATGCTCGTTAGATGAGTTTTACCTACCGTGAAATTATGACTAAGTACTCAAACCATTAGTTACTGGAAGCCTACTAGAAATTCATAGTTGCAACAACTGAGAAGAAAGTTAGGTGAACTACCCATTAACAGACGAGCCATTTCGTCTTGAGGAACTAAGATCCTAGCTGATACTAGACCACAATATTGCTAGAGCAACAACAAGAGATCAGCTCAACAACACAGGGGGAACAGATAAATTACCTTCATCCAACTAAACCTATTAGGCTATTACGAACAATAAAGGATCCCCTATTCCCGAAATCCTAAGAACATGAACTAAACCTAGATCACTTGATGTTTGGCCAGAAAGTGAACTTTTAGATCAAACCCAATTCGATTCTTGCACTGCCTTGTTCTCTTCCACAACTAAATTCAAATCACAATTCCAATCTTCCAGGCTAATTTAGTACAAAATTTTCAGTCTTTCTCTCCCACCCAGATTCAAAAACCACTACTTTTACATCAGAATCACAGGTTTCCCCCCCTGGGAACCAAACAGAATCCAGCGCGAAGTCCCAAAAATTACCCAATTGAGAATACAAGAGTAAAGATACGAAATTCGCCACAGGTAATGTCGTTATCCTTACCTGGGCGGGCGTATGATAAAGTTGACGAGCTGCTCCATGAAGAGAAGATTCAAAAAGCCACGACTTTTGGATCTTATATTTCCCCTAAAAGGATTACCCTTTTCTGACTCCCTTTTGGAAACCTCTTGAGACCGTAAGTCCTGCTGCTATTGAAGAAAGACTAAAATATTGGAGAAGACAGGAAATCCTGCAGATGGGTGAAGAAGAAACGGTGTCACTTGGGTTGATGGAATCGAAGGAAGGGAGGAAGGAAGGAGGGGAGGGCAAGAAGAAGGAGATGTGGGGGTAAACAGGAGAATTTCAATGAAGGGGAGGAATTGGGGAGACAGATGAAACAGAAGACCAGGAGGGAGAAGGAAGATCACTTTAGTTTGCCGGGGAAGTTGTTCAATGGTGTTTTGGATTGTTGCTTGCTTCCTTTCCCCCTGGTATGGTGGTGGTGTTGTTCTAGTTGCCTTCCATTTGTTGTTCTATTTTTTCACTCCACCAGACCACCACCGAGCCAATCTCTCTCTCTCTCTCTCTCTCTCTCTCTCTCTCTCATCTCATCTCATCTCATCACACTGTTCCTTTTCTGTGATATTCACACGTGGCATATACTCAGTTGAGTTGGGCCTCATACGTGAGGAAGAAGACAAACCATAAAGATCGCGATCCCGATCCTAAGTTGTGTGTCATTGGACTTGGCCTTCTGAGCCCAAGACAGTGAGACCCAAAAGGTAAGTGGAAAAGTGCACGGTGAGTCATTTCTCAAAGTTAAACTGCTCACCAGAAGCTGCACTTGAGTAGGCTGCAAAGTGCAAAGGCTCACCATTCGACTTGAATTTTCTTTTTTTAAGTTTTGTAAATTTATATCGAGTTGGATTTGAGTTAAGACTTATACCGCTAGCGAGCCAGTTTAACATGGTGGTTCGTTGGGATGGTTCGTTGAGATGGTTAGCGGGTCAGCTTGACTGGTGACTTATTAGCTAATCGATTTTATAATTTATGAATTGATTTGTTGATAGTTTAAAAGATCGGAATAGTCATGAACATAAGCATTGTGATCTGCAATCATTAGAAGAAGCAAAAGAACTTATGATACCAAGAGTTTGTTCCATATGTTCGTGATTCAAATTGATTTGAATGAGATAAATCTATACTATTTTAAGCTACTCAATACTCTCTCTTATCAATTATACCCAAATGGGAGACATCTTCTCATTGATTTGCATCAGTCCAAAAATGCAAAGACTAATTCAAATTATGCCATCAATGGCAATGGCATCTCCTTATTGTGCAGGCTCAAGAAGAAGGATGTTGGAATGTGGGATCTTCACATTCTTCCAAAATGGCAAGTAATTGGTTCCAAGTTTGCACCCAAATGGGAGAGGAATTAGTTGAGGCAAACGGCTATTATACTCCATCATATGATGTGAACCCACTTTACTTTCTTCTTCTCCTCTCACCAATTACCAAACCCACAAATCCCCATTTTGATGGGTGCAGAATTTCTGAGTTTGGCAGAGACGTTTGGGCTGCCTGAAATGGATATTTCTTCCTGGAAATGCAAGTTTAAATTTGAGGTCAAGTGAGTTGGTCACTTGTGTTGGCAAAGATGGAAAAGAGGTTACTTACTACCAAATTTTATAGGTAATCCCACCTACCAATAAGTGATTTTCAGCCACGTTTTGTAATGAGTTGTTGGCGCCACTAGGAGTAGTATGTTCGTGTCATATGAATGGTGGTTCTTGTCAGATAAATTTAGAATGTGTATGACTTTTTTTTTGTAGCTGTTGTTGTGATGCAATTTTAATATGATATAGAGCATTTGGTATATTACGATTTCTAATCTGCAGAACAAAAGGAGCATAAATGAATTTCATTAATACAAATTTAAGAGTAAGCATTATAAGATATATAAATGAATCGTTGTGGACTAATAAATGAGATTGTGAGAACAAAGGAAAATCCCTTCTTATCGTTACCATGTGGTAAACAATGTGAATTCTTTGGCAGGGATTATAGTTCAGCAAAAGAATAGAATGGCCATTGAGTAAGACCAAAACCGTGCAAGCATATGTTTAGGGTAATCAGATGATTAAAGATAAGAATGAGATTTAGGGTTTGAATTCATCAATTGTTGGTATATTCACCTCGATTACCATTTATCACCAAGAAGAAATAATTTTTCTATCCGGTTTAGTGAAACCAATCATATGTCATAATCACCAACATAACACTGCAAACAAGGAACATATGAACTGAAAAATACAAAGCTATCACAGTTTTTTGTTCTCATCCTTACATGGATTGAGTTAAGGAAAAGGTAATTTCATGGTTGATGTCTAAATTGTCACTAAACTATGATGTCTATATATTGCACAAAGTAGTAAAAAGATGTACAATGTGTGTTTGAGATACTAATTTAACAATTTTGTTGAAGTCGAAATATTATATTAGTTCTATCTAACGAACATAAATTAGACAAAGTAAAGTAAGATTATTGTTCGGTGAAGATCATCATGTTTGTTAGAATTGTTAGTTAAATCGGGCTAAATTACACGATTGGTCACTCGAATTATATAAATCTTTCACGTTTGCCACCCAAATTACTTTTCTTTCTTATTCGCCACTAACTTTACGAATCGTTTCACCATTAGTCACTGGCCGTTAGTCTCCGTCAAACTCCGTTAACTCCGTCAGTTTTTTTATGACGTGGCAAACAGAACTGCTGACTGGACAGTTGACCTAATGACATGTCAATTTACAAAAACAAAAAAAATTATTAATTAATATCTTATCCTCTTACTCGCATTTCACAAGCTGCTTCTGCCGAGCCCTCGTCGGTGTTCCTCAATCCCTCGCTTTCCTCTTCGATCTGGGAACCGGCGACGGATTGGAAACTCTTTCTCATCGATTCGGCCATGTGCAGCGACCATAAAAATATTGGATTCATTTGCTTGTTCAATTGGTTGATTACTTGATTGTGGGCTCGAAAATAAAAATTGACATTTACCAGTACTGGCGAATTCGATCTCCGGTTTCCATTTTGTTTTGGGGGTGAAGAGTTATCATTTAGTTTTTGGTTATTGGGAGATCAGTTTATGCAGGGGTGATTCTACAAGGAAGAAGACGAAGCCGCACCGGTGAACCTGTATGGTAAGTCAATGGTAGCTCCACCAATTGGATCTCGACGCCGCCGTATCCACATTGCTTGACAATAATGTCACAGATAAAAGAACCCAGATGGCGGCTGTAAATTGACGCCTTCGCCGGAAATTGCCTAGCCCATAGATCCGCTCCACTGTACCGGAAATAGCCCAGCCCAGAGATCCCTTCCTCTCTCTTCTTCGTCGGCAAAGCCCAGAGCTTGAAATCAATAAATTCCTACACTCAATATGTCTCGACGAAACCCCGAAGCTTCGGCGGGAGTTTGGAATCGGAGAAGGACGAAACTTGAAATCGGCCCTCTCTAATGGCGTCAGTGATTTCCTTTTCGTTCATCCTTCGTTGGCTCCTTTATCCTTCTCTTGCCTCCCCATCGGATACTCCAATCTTCTCCCTGCTGCTCGCTCCGTCGATTCTCTCCGTTCCCGGTAGCAATGTGTGATTCGACCAGATTCGGTGGACGAGGAAACGCCACGGCAAGCGTGCTCGTCGTTGATGTCTTGGGCTAGTCCCTTCTCTTCCGTCAATCTAATCGTTCAGGGCAAAAATCTTGAAGTTCGTAAATCTTCTCTTTTCTCTGATTTTGATTTCCTCTTTACGTAGGGAGCTGCAATGGTTAATTCAGAACTAGCTATTGATGTCGTTTGTTCTCATGGATGAATATACTGATTTACTATGAAATAATTTTATTAGGTGGGTCATGAATCTTCGCACAAGTTATATTTAGAGAGAGTACTTTGCATTTTTCATTTTTTTATTATTTTTTTTTAAATTGACACGTCATTAAAAAACTGACGGAGTTAATGAAGTCTAACGGAGATTGACGGCCGGTGACTAACGGTGAAATGATTCGTAAAGTTAGTGGCGAATAAGAAAGAAAAGTAATTTGGGTGGCAAAAGTGAAAGATTTATATAATTCGAGTGACCAATCGTGTAATTTAGCCGTTAAATCGCCATGTTTGTACAAATTCCACGGTTTTATGACGATGTAGGCCTTTTAACTCATTGAATGTATCGATCAACTTTGAGTGGGGATGAAGATTGAAACATTATCCTTTTTTAAGTGTTATTTTTGTAGTCCACGGATCTCTTGGTGCAACTAAAGAGACCACAATCCAAATGCCATCCACACATGGTGCCTTACCCCTAACTGCTAAGGAAAAGCCAACACACTCTTTTGTTTTCTAGTTGGGATGAGAAACCCAGAAAGAAAAGGCCTCTTCTCTTTTAATAGGAGCCTCTGAACACAAAACCCCTCCAGCTCACTCACTTTCTCCACCCCTGCCTCTTTAATTTCTCTTCAGTTCTCTGCAACTTCCCATATTCTTTGGTCTGCTCTCCAACCCATTTGCAGGCATTTCCCCCGACCGGTAAGCCTTCTGTAAAGCAGCTCTCTTTCTGGCATTTGGGTTTCTGCAACATGCATTTTGATTTTGCCATGCTTTGGAGTCCATAGTTTTGGGGTGCATTGCTAGGGATCCGTTACTCAGATGATTGCCAATTCCCATCTTGAAGCACTACCCATTTCCTTTTTAGCATGTGGTTTAAGCTACTGAGAGAATCTGCGATCATTTTCTTTTCTGGGATTCATGCTATATGCTTTGGTTAAAAGACGTTTCACATGTTTCAGTGGTGTGTAGAGCAGATAAAAAGGTGAAACCTTTATTGGTGGGAGTGAATTATATGGATATGGACTTTCTTATGAGGAAGTTTAGACCATAGGTTGACCTGGTCCACCATTGCTTTTTCCCTGGTCCACATCATCAGATAGGGTAGCAGATCACACCCACCCAAATCATCGTTTGAGAGCTTTGATGATCAGCTGCCATTAATCTTTACTAGGATGAACTTGTTCCAGCATACCATAAACCCCAAAAGAAGCCAAATTTACGAATAAACCAAAGGGGAAATAAGTCTCCAGATACCAGATTTGTTTGACAAATGGGGAACTGAGCTGTTGATATGTCCCTTCTTGTGGCCTATTCATCTACCAATGATTGAACACAACTAGAATTGGTGCCCTGGTGGTTGATATCGATGTTTTGGTTATGGGAGTTGACGTTCTTGTCGTTTCATTTCTCAGTTCCTACAGTGTTTTGATTTCTCAAATTACGAGCTTGTTTACTTGGTTCTGGGAGTTCCAGGGGTTTAGGGAGTAGGCGAAAATGGCCCATATCTTGGCACCATCAGCACAATGGCAGATGAGGTTGTCGAACAAGGTGGCAGCACCTGTCAATCCCATGACAGGAAAGATGTGGAGTTCCTTGGTGATGAAGAAGAAGGGAACTACAAAAGGTGCTTCCAAATTCCGCGTCTTTGCAATCAAGGCCGAGAACAGCACTATCAATAGGCTAGACAATCTCTTGAACTTGGATATCACCCCATTCACTGACAAGATCATTGCTGAGTACATCTGGTATGTATGCCCTTCTCAGCTACCAACTTCCACATGGCATGATTGTTCTTCTTATTCATTCGTTCATTCATTCATTCATTTGTTGCGCCACAGGATTGGAGGATCGGGCATTGATCTTCGAAGCAAAGCAAGGGTACGTTACATAAGCAACAAAGAAATTTGGCAGTCTAGTTTGTTCTCCAAAGTGTAATGGCTATTTCTTTTTCCTTATATCAACGGCTCTATTGAATTTAACAGACAATTGAGAAGCCTGTGGAGCATCCATCTGAGCTTCCCAAGTGGAATTATGATGGATCAAGTACCGGGCAGGCACCGGGAGAAGACAGTGAGGTTATTATATAGTAAGATATCTTCTGCTTAAACAATCAAACTGATGTGTCTTTTTCTATTTTCACTTCTGATTGATATTTTGGTATTGACTTTAACCTTTGATTCAGCCCACAAGCAATTTTCAAAGACCCATTCCGTGGAGGTAACAATATCTTGGTGAGTGCTTATTTTTATCAAATCGACTAGTCGTAATGGTATGATCCACGCAAGTTCTTCGACAGTATTTGCTCATTGCCTGATTTTCGTCTCTCTTCAATAAAGGTCATTTGTGATGCTTACACACCAGCTGGTGAGCCCATCCCGACCAACAAGCGTTACCGTGCTGCTCAGATCTTCAGTGACCCAAAGGTTACAGCTGAAGTTCCATGGTATGCCATTCTGATATTTATATGAAATGGTCGCTAAACGTCAGGGTCACTAACTAACTTGTTACTGTAAGTTCAAAATAATCAAAGTAGCAGCCATTTTGTCCCTCCCAGTAACATTGTTGTCCAAATTAGCATGCAAACACGCACCCCAATTAATAATACAAGACCACTTAGGCCCTTATTAGCTGAGGATTTTCTTATATCAATTTTGGTGGGTTGGCACATTAATTTGGTCGGAAAACTTGATGAAGCCATATTGAGTTACTGTTGTGTTAGTTATTCTAAACTCTAGTAACAAAAGTCATTAAAGATTTATGTTGAGGGACCGATATTCTTATTGCTACTCATTACAAGAAATTCAATCTGTTGTGTAACCGACTGACAAGAATTTTCAACTGTAGGTATGGCATAGAGCAAGAGTACACATTGCTTCAACAAAATGTGAAATGGCCTTTGGGTTGGCCAGTTGGTGGCTACCCTGGTCCTCAGGTATTATTACTCATCAGCTACTTCCCAAAATTCAAGTTACTGAATTCATGTAATGTGACTAAATGCATAATACTCTGTACTTTATCTCAGGGTCCTTATTACTGTGGTGCTGGGGCAGACAAGTCCTTTGGTCGTGATATATCAGACGCACACTACAAAGCTTGCTTGTATGCTGGAATCAACGTTAGTGGCACAAACGGAGAAGTCATGCCTGGCCAGGTTTGCCTCTCCTGTCTGCTGTCTTTCCCCCACGTTTTGTGTAACAACTGAAACCACTTATTAGAAACTCGGTATGTCTTCCTTTGTCACCTTCTTACTCTCGAGTTCCTATTGCAGTGGGAGTATCAGGTTGGTCCTAGTGTTGGCATTGATGCTGCAGATCATATCTGGTGTTCCAGATACATTCTTGAGGTATTATTCATAAAATTTGACGCCCTTTTACCACGATGAACTTCAAAGCTTTGTACTTCAACTTTTTGTTGGTGGTCCTGACAGAGAATCACAGAACAAGCTGGAGTTGTGCTGTCCCTTGACCCAAAACCAATTGAGGTACTACGTACATTCATGTTTTCTTCCGGCAAACTTCTGTCAATGCAAGTAAAGAAACTCACACAAAGCTTCTATTGATGCGAGCAGGGTGATTGGAACGGGGCAGGATGCCATACCAACTACAGGCATTTGGATTTTTTCTTTACTTTATCAAAACAAATGCTTAGGTTAAGTGAGACAAGTTATATAACAAAAGCTGTTGTATGTGGTTGCAGCACAAAGAGCATGAGAGAGGATGGAGGGTTTGAAGTGATTAAGAAGGCTATCTTGAATCTATCTCTTCGCCATAAGGACCATATCAGTGCTTACGGTGAAGGAAACGAGAGACGACTGACTGGAAAGCACGAGACTGCCAGCATTGACCAGTTTTCTTGGGTATGGATGGCAAATTACCATTTCTTTCCTTCCCTACACTTGATATGTGAAGTCAACTTTCTTGCATCATGTGTATGATTTTTTTTGGGAAACCCAACATGCAGGGAGTTGCTAACCGTGGTGCCTCAATTCGTGTGGGACGCGACACTGAGAAGAAAGGCAAAGGTGCAAACTTTTCCGGTTTCTGCGCATGTTCTTAGCTCTTATGGTTAAAGTTATGTACTAAGCTCTGCGTATTCATGGCTGCTAGGTTACTTGGAGGACCGTCGCCCAGCCTCAAACATGGACCCGTACATTGTGACTTCATTATTGGCTGAGACTACACTCTTATGGCAACCGACACTTGAGGCTGAAGCTCTCGCTGCCCAGAAGCTGGCTTTGAAGGTCTGATGAGAAATGGTTGAAGAAAAACAGAAGGTCAATTAAGGATATCAACAACGATTTCTTTCGATTTAGTGGTTCAGGCTGAAGGCAGCATCGGATTTTTCTTCCTCCTAGCTCTTCATGAAAATATCCGTGTAAATAAATGTTCCTGAATTGCCGCTGTCGAAGGTCAATCGCCCTGAGACTGATGAATTGTTGCTCTCTTTCCAATAACTTCTGATTCTTGATGCTTGGACAATGAATAGACCTGAAATCACCTCAGGCCTTTTGAGAAGTTTAAACGTTGTCCTCTCCCTTTCATCTTCTGGAGATTCTCCTTTCTTTTTGCCTAAAGTTTGGGAATATCTACAGCAAGAGAATAGCAATCATTGTAGGGTCAGGAGAAGCCAAAATGAGTGCATCATTTTTTGCAGGAAGCCAGGATCTGTTATTCCTTTGCTTCCCCTGCAGGCAGAAAAAAGGCTTATTCTTCCTGGATAAAGTGATACCTAACTGCTGCATATAATTATCCAAACTAGCTCTTCTTTCAGGTCCTGAAAAATTTATTCCTTCCCTTCCATAGAGGCAAACCCAAATGAAGGGGTGAAAGAAAGGCATTAGAGGCATTCCTTTGGAATCAAGACAATCCTATTGTATATTGCGAGGTTCCAAGTATAAATTCAGTGCTTCATCTAACCACAACCACATTGCCAAGCTTGGAATTCCTCTGAACATTCCTTCCTAGTTCCCAGTAAAAAATCCCCCATGGCTTCAGGAGCATCTAGATCTGCATCCTTACTTCTCTTGATCCTCAACATGCTCCTCTACTTCATCATCATTGTCATTGCTTCATGGGCCATAAACCATGCCATTCTCCGGTCACATGAAGCAGGTAAAAAAATTCACGGTTCTTCAAAGATTTCATTCTGGAAATAGTTGAAATAAATTATATCCTGAACCATGTTTCTTCTTGCTTGTGCACTAAAATGGCAGCTTCTGTCCTATCCATCCCAGCTCGGATCTTCCCCATATTCTTTCCCGTAGGGAACATGGCTACAGGATTCTTTGTCGTGATCTCCCTCCTAGCCGGAATCGTGGGCATCACCACATCGTTAACTGGAATCCAGAACGTTATGGTCTCGAATGCAGCGAATCTCCATGCTGCAGCTTCGTCTTCCTTGACTTCCTTGGCACTCACGCTTCTAGCCATGGGGTATGCTTTTTGCTGCTTTTTTTATTTCAGTGGCGAAATTGTACTGGGAAGATGATGAGAGGACTCAGTTTGGTTTGTCTATTTTGTTGCAGATTGGCGTGTAAAGAGATTGACATAGGGTGGACTGATGCAAACTTGGTAAGTAGGAAACTCACCTCAAAAAGTCATGTTCTTGCTTGCAATACAAGCATACTCATTATAACCAGTTCATCATTCTTTCTCATTTGCTGAAACAGAGGACTCTGGAAGTGATAACCATAGTTGTGAGTGCAACCCAGTTGCTGTGCACTGGAGCTCTTCATGCCGGAGCTGAAGAGGTTGAGACTCGACGGAGGATTCTTGGCTAGTGGAAAGAAGAATTTGAATATTCTTTTACCACCACCCTCATTGTGTTCATGAGAGCTCTCTCAATTTCTCCCTTCCTTCTTCCCTTCTTTTATTGAGAGTGAGAGTTGTAATTCAATAAGCATTGTTTCTTGTGTCTCAAGTTAGCGTTCTTTGATTCGTGATCTTAAAACTTTATCTTGTTTGGCACATTGGATTAGGTTATTGCACTGTTGGCTATGAATCAACTAGAGATACAAAATCAAGTTTAACATGTTCATACTAATATTCAATGAATTTTATAATGTTAAAGTCGAATCCATCGGTTTCGATCAATTATTGATTCATTTATAAGAAAATATAATATTGGTTTAACAATCAATTTATCACGATTAGTCAAATTTTAAAGAAGTCAAATTAGGAATATTTTTTAAATTTTGATTGCATTCCCTAATATGCATCTAATTATGATAGAATTAAAAAAAAAATCCGGACTCAATCCATGCTAACTTAGCCAATTTCTAACCCAAATGCAACTGACTTGTAAAAACCCCGCCAGTTACAGCCGCCGCTCCGGTCACCGGGCCGCTCTTCGGAGGGAGATACCGGCGGCGGGGTACGGGGTCCCATCTCATTTCAACCTCAGATTCTTTCTTTTCCAGTTTTCCTACGCTTCGAATCTGCGAACCAGTTGAGAATCCGGAGCTGGTTCTGCTCCATTAGGTTTTCCCTCAATTTCATTTACATCCGACAAACTTGCCGATGAGCGTCGCCGGCTGTAAAATCTTGGCGGCGTCCTTATCCTTTCCTTCGTCACACCCAAACCCTAATTCGAGAATCCGAGTACCATCGCCCAGTACATTTCTTCACCCACCACTTTTCTCCACTCTGTCGACCCTCGAATCAAACTGGTAGCGAAAAGTTTCAAGCTTCACCCTTTTCTATGGTAGCCAACATGAACAGTTGCTCTCCCTTCCCCATTTGGTTAATTGGGCTTCTTGGGTTGATATGAATTTTCGTAGATATGGCTGCTGGCTCTTGTTGTTCTGCCGGCAAGCTCCCACATAGTAATGCGGTTCGGATTGGTCTCTTATCTTGCTGCTCTGTCGATTTTCGTCCTCCCTAGCAATGTCTGGATGGTAAACTATGATAGAGTCTGCCATTTTGTTTTAACGGCGAGCTAATGCAATTTTGGATGACCCTAGGAATGAGTTGTTAGTTGTGTTCTTCGTGTAGGATCAACTGGGAAGGGTTTTATTGCTTTTTGGGATTCTGTTCTTGATGTTAGGGTTGGGTTCGGATTCGGTGCCTCCACTTGTGCAGTTGAGAACTCCACCGGCTTCTGTGACAGGCTTTCCTAACCTCCCACAGTCTCTACGAGGTTACTCTTACTTGATTCTGAAGCTAGGTCCTCTACAATGTACAAGGAAAGACTTGTCAGTTGCAAGCACAGCTGCATGCTTAACCTTCACTGTAAGTTCCTTTGTGTTTCCACTCCCCCAGGGCTCCTCTCTTGTCGGATCCCGATATGAATGAAAGATGGTAGATACTGGACGTTTGGCTGAATGTGCATTTTATCTCCTTTTGAAGATCTTTTAAAGTGCCAGCCTTTTCCTTGCAACTACAACACCAGAACAACTAGCGTCAGCTTTGCGGTGGTTCATGCTTCCATTGAGATACTTGGGTGTTCCGGTTGCTGAAATGACTCTAACCCTTATGCTCTCCCTGTGATTCATCAATCTCGTCTTGGACGAGGTAATATAAACACTGTCACATAATTTCTGATTGTTGGAGTAGCTAATCAAACACCAATTTTCCTTCCAGGTGAGAAATGTCGCACTGGGGATTGTGTTTCGTAGGATCAACTGGAAGCTACTGACTGTCATGGAGATGATTGAAAGTAAGCAAATCTTCAACAACATCATGTAAGCTTTGACAATGGATGCTAATTTCCTAATGTTGATCATAATCTGGGTAATGGCAGTTCTTGCTTCCTACATTCGACGCATCTTCAAGAACATCTTCAGCCATGCTGAGTAGATATCTCAGGTTAGTAAGTTGAAAAATACAGTATAGCAATGTTCTTCGATCAATCGACTTGGCTATGTGAGTGATATGTGCATACTGTTGTGCGTTGTACATAAGCAATGATCGTACGGGTTTCAGAGGGGACATCAATGCTCATAAGATCTACTTCTTATCAAAATCGTCACTGGGAATGGCTGATTTCATTTCATTACTGTTCCTCGTTGGTGCCAGCGGTGCTGTTTTGTCGGATCGCTTTCTCTTCTGAAGCCCGATTTACATCCAAAGTTGTATTTAGGTGAAAAATTCAAATCATTGCTTATCTTAAAGCATTCAGATTCATCCGAGTACCAATTGGTCCAGACGACACCATTAGAAATCCATTGCTTAGCACTAATTGATTGGTCGATCCGTTTCTCGATATATCTGGTGAATTTTTGAAGGATTAAAGTTCATGACTTTGGGAGAAGATCTACAAAATTGATAGGTGGTATCGAACGTACTGACTGTACAAGTGGACAACAATTGAGTTTATATTGATTTGAATCAGATCTGAGTCCTATTCAGCAGAAAGAGGATGAACCAAACTAATTATAGGAGTAGGCAACAAAATTCGATTTATATTTCGTACGTGCAAACATTTTATCTTTGTTTACTGAATCTCAACGAAACAGGTCGAATCTTATCGAAACCAAACCAAAGTTGGACGTACTTAAACCAACTTTCTACCCTTTAGAAATAAGTGATTTTGTTTCAGCCTAGAAGACAGATAGCACAAAGTCATGGGTCATCGAAGCTCATTCATAGTAACCGCGCGAGTACCAAAATCTAAGGATTCGTTTGGTTTTGGTGATAGTTAAATAGATGCATTGTTATCAATGCATGCATAATAATATACATGCATATAAGAAAATTGATGTGTTGTAGTTTACATCGTTTCTATGATAGTTATTCTAGCATTTAAATAAGATATAGGGTTAATACCCTCGTTTGGCACGAAGTATAGCGTTAGTGACATTTCTGGCTCAAGTTTTCAAATAAGACATCTCTGGCCCACTTTTCAAATTATCGGACGAATTTGGCCTATGGGACGGGTTGACTGTCAGATTTGACGGTCAACAATATTCTCCGTTGCTGACTCAGCATTGGACTCTGACGTGGCTTGTCCATGTCATTTATTTTTAAAAAAAATAAAAAAAATAAACAAAACTAAAAGGGAAAGGTGGAGACCAGCCCCCTTCTTCCTCCTGTGAACCCAACCCCCTCTTATCCCTTCCCCGAACAACTCCGCCGCCCATCAATCAATCATCTTCCCGGACCGGATCCAATCCGTGAGGTGGTCCACAAACCCATTCAAACCTTTCCCTCTGCATCCATCGGCCGCTCCACCTTTTCACCTCCACCGTCGTCACCTCGATCCCGACCCGATCCAGCCGGCTCTTGATCGCCGAAAGCAGCTTGAAATTGTCCTGCGAATTGGTCGCCAGAGCCTTCTTCACCAGCAGCTCTCTGTCCGTCTTTTTCAATTTATGCAAATCGATGGTCTCGGTCAGCTGCCCGTTCCCCAATTGCGCTTCCAAAGGCGTCCTCCTCAGCACCGCGTACCTGTCCCGCTTCTCCGACGGAAGCCTGGCGATTGCTTCCAGAATCAGCTCGTCTTCATCGTCCCTCACCGCCGACGAGGTTTCCGCCCCGCTCCCGGCGAACGAGTCGATTTCCAGCTCGATGAAATAACAAATCTGCGTTGTGGTTAATTGATTGGGGGTATGGCAGTTCAAGGGATCGAGCGGAGTTGTTCGGGGAAGGGATAAGAGGGGGTTGGTTTCACAGGAGGAAGAAGGGGGCTGGTCTCCACCTTTCCCTTTTAGTTTTGTTTATTTTGTTTATTTTTTTAAAAAATAAATGACGTGGACAAGCCACGTCAGAGTCCAATGTTGAGTCAGCAACGGAGAATATTGTTGACCGTCAAATCTGACAGTCAACCCGTCCCATAGGCCAAATTCGTCCGATAATTTGAAAAGTGGGCCAGAGATGTCTTATTTGAAAACTTGAGCCAGAAATGTCACTAACGCTATACTTCGTGCCAAACGAGGGTATTAACCCTAAGATATATAACTTTCTGAGTGGAATGTCATTTTTACCTTTTGTTTGTTATATAAAACAAAGCACATCAAAGGTAGGTACATGATTGGAAGAAGTAAACACTCAACAATCTCAAACAAACAATCTCAACAAAAACTTGAGATATTATTATTACTCATTTTGATTGATAGTTTCCATAACATCAAGCTAACAATACATGTATAGTTTGTGCAGAAAATTCAAAAAACAATGCATTGTGAACAATACATGCATTGTAACTATCCAACTAAACAATCACCAAAACCAAACAAATACTAAGGGGTCGTTTGGAAGTTGTGATTGTTAAATAGATGTATTGTTGAGAATGCATGTATAATATTATACATGTATTGTCGAATTTGATGCATTGTAGAATACAATGTTTGGTATGTGTGATTGTGTATGTCGCATTAGCTAAAAGCTGAGACAAAACAATCTCAACTCAACTATCTCAACAATCACAACTAAAAGTTGAGATATAACAATCACTCAAAATGAGTGATAGTTTCTGTCACATCACAGAAACAATCCATGTATTGTTTCTGCTAAAAAAAAAAAAAAAAAAAAAACGATGCATTGTAAACAATACATGCATAATGACAATCTCAACAAAACTATCGCAACTCCAAACGACCCCTAAATCCCATTCTGAATCCAACCCTCTTGAATTCTGTAAAAATCACTCTAAAGCCCCGCCATTTTTGGCAAGTGTTCCCTACTGTCATGACAGTGTGTGACTATCTTCTCAATCGAAGAAAGTTTCGAAATCCCTTTCCTTCTTCTCGCACCGGCCAACCAGCCTCTCTCCGCCTTCGCCCAGCGGAGGAATTAGAATCCTGTTGTTGGATGGTATGAGAAACCTAGCAGTAGCTAGGGTTTAGCGGAAGAAGAAGAAGAATGCTGCACAAAATTGGGGAACGCGCAAGAGGAGATTGATTCCTCTGCTTTTCTTTTATATTCAGACCAGTAGGTTGTAGTTCACGTTACAAAACAGTAGAAATGGAAAAGCTAAACTGAAATTTAAATTGACAGTAAATATAAAGCCACGTGTTGTGGCATCATTAGTCGTAGCTGATTCCACCCAACGGTAAGTGTCCAAACTCCACCAAGGCGTCGTCTCGTTCTTCTACTTGACTCCTGAGTGGAAGGGAACCCAGAAACGTTTTTGTTTCTGGGTGAAGTTTCTTCTGGTTGCTCTGCCTCATTCAATTCATCTTCTGCAGAGCACCATCTTCATCATCTTCAGTTAATACTCCCCCACAAGCTGGCGAATAAGCATTGTGCACTCCCAGATTGTCCAGTAAGAATTTCAGTCTGTAAGTGTCATGCCCTTGGTGAAGGTAGGTTACTCCCTTAGAGATATAACTATAAACCATTCTTTGTCATGTAAACTTCCTGAGCCAATCCACTTTTTGTTAAACAGAATAAAGATGAAACTTGGTTTAGAAATGTACCATTTCCAACTCTTTTAATCTACTATTCTCGACCTAAGGATATAACTACTTATTCACAAGCTCACTGGAATGATCTCCTTCTTCTAATATATATATATATATATATATATATATATATATATATATATATATATATATATATATATATATGGCGAGTTCTACGGTACCCAGGGTGAAATCCGGGGTACCGCATACCTTGAGTAAGAAAACGCTATCTAGAACTTGAATTGACTAATCTTTCGGACATGATACTACACTCTAACCCTTAAAGATCAACATCTAGGTCTCAATTCTCTAAATCTTATACTCCAAGATCAATTTAATTAGAAACAATAATCGACGGTTATGATTCGTCCAAATATATATATATATATATATATATATATGGTGCCTTCTACGGTACCCCGGGTGAAATCCAGTGTACCGCATACCTTAAGTATGAAAACGCTATCTAGGCCTTGAATTAGCAGGATTTTTGGGTATGATACTATACCCTAACCCTTAATGAGTGAACCCTAGGTCCTAATTATCTAAAATATAAACTATAAACCCTAAGATGGTGCATTTATTTTTTTGCCTATATTTGGACGAATCATAACCGTCGATTATTGTTTCTAATTAAATTGATCTTGGGGTATAAGATTTAGAGAATTGAGACCTAGATGTTGATCTTTAAGGGTTAGAGTGTAGTATCATGTCCGAAAGATTAGTCAATTCAAGTTCCAGAAAGCGTTTTCTTACTCAAGGTATGCGGTACCCCGAATTTCACCCTGGGTACCGTAGAACTCCCCATATATATATATATATATATATATATATTATACACCTCTTTGGCGTTGAGCTACATTCAGAACTAAATCTAGTTGGTGGCTGACATTTAAAGCCGAAGCTGTTAATGTTGACCTGGCCTAATTCTTATGGCTCTACCGGTATGGTCCTCAATCTGTCTTTGATTCTTAATCTTGATTATATCTTAGTTGTAGCATAATCCTTTCATTTTTCCTCCTATTGATTTAAATTGCAGATATGACTGTTGCCTGTCAATGCCTTGTAGAGCAATGTGTTTTCGGATCGGTTGCCAACTTGCCCCTGTCGAAAGGCACCTTCATCAGCTCCATAATGGTAGTTGTGAAAACTACCGCTGCCTGAGTGGAAGTTGTACTGAGGTTGGTTGGGGAGGTCCGGTTGAACTTCTTCTTCATATGACGGGAAAGAATGATGATGACCTTCACCTTGCTTTTGGTACTGAAAATATGAATGAGGATCATGGTAACTTTGGTAGGGATGATCGCCATATAATTCACCTCCACCATGGATACCAGATGTTTGACCGTGTCCAGAATGACCTCCAACACCTACGATCGGCTTGGTGTAAACAAACATCTCGGCTTTGGAAAGATTGTTGGACCTCATGAATTCGAGCATGGCATCTACCTCATCCTGAGTGGTTATGAGATATTCCTCATGCCACAATGACCCACTTTCTCTGTTTGGATATCGGTACACCATACGATCAACTCTTCTCGTGCCATCCATGCAAGTAACGTTAGTGCACATTTGATGGAGGTCTTAAAGCAGCGGTCTGGTAGCGACCTTTATCTTCTGAAAATTGCCACCTACGTAGGTGACCCCCTTTCCGGTCTCTTCCGTGTAACCATTCCACCGTAAGCCAAACGTGAACTTTTGGAATGCCATCTGCAAAAAAACCGTAGTTCAGTTAATATCATAAAAATCAAAAATACAAAATAACAATAAAAAGTAATACAAAATAAACTTACGAGTTAACGTTAATCGCAAAACTACTAAAGAAATATAGAGCTACAAACAGCATCTCCAAAGTGCGGTTTTGCTAGGTCAGGTCAAAACCGCACCTTAGAGTTGCGGTCCATAAAAAAGGGTGCTATTAGTGTAATTTTTTCGGCTGGGTGCTATTTTTATAATTTTTTTTTAAAGGTGCTATTTCTGGAAAATCCCGAAATTTTGAACTGCCATTTTTAAATGTTAGCTTCGTTGAAGTATTCACCTATTCGGGAACCCTGTTTGAAATTCAAGAGGAATAAACATTCGGCATTGCAGATTATCATCATGATCATTCGGCATGACTGATTGTTTGACATTGTTCTTTACATTTGGTTCATGACTTCATGCGTAAGTGTATGGATGTGAACTGAATTGTTTCTACATCCACCAATCTCTTCAATCCTACTCAGACGACTAACATGCTCTATAGCTCATCGGTATCAACTCTATCCTCCCGTCCTGCAATTGGGAGGGAGAAAAGAAAGAAAAAATGACAGTGCTCGGTAAAAGGAACAAATGCAAGTGAGATACTGTTGAAACCTGATTCATATGCACATAAACTACTAACTTGCCTATGTTTCATACACTGCAAACAAACTGTAGACCAGAAAAACAAAACTACAAAGTACTAAAAAGGGATTTGCTGTCCAGCCAGAGTAATCCTTACCCTTGCCAACAAAGTCTCTTCCCCGCCTACTTCGTGCATAACCTAATAAACAACTCTGTACTTATCAAGACACCCCGTGCCAGCTTCCATGTAACTACTCGCTGCTTCTTTGGGACAACAAGTCATCAACTCCTTGAGCTCTCCCTTACTTGACAAGGAATTCACATCACGAGGAGTGTCATACCCTGCATTCTTTGTCCACCGATGCAATATATACCGAGAGGGAAGTTCCCTTATCCCCATCAGGTTGAAAACCCTCAAGGCATGGCGACAAAGCACCCCCTCGAACTCAAACATCTTGCAGCTGCAGTAGATGTCGAGGTTCAACCTATCGAGTCGAACTGTGTATTTCTCATTCTTGTCCCCACATCTCTGCAGTGAGAATCTGCTCACTGTCCTTTCCTCAAATGTCTTAATAGCAAAGTAATTGTAGCACTGCAACATCTCCTCCTGAAATATCTTGAACACTGCCAGAGTGTACAGCTGTCTGCACTGGTCTTCCACCGGTTCTTTCGTCGTAAGAACAGCTTGCAGATTGCAGCACCTGAAGTCCTCTTTCCTCTGCTGCTCCACAACTTGCTCGTATCTTGAAATGAACTCATCAACTTCACTTTCCGTAATTGAGTTTGAAAGAGAGAACGAGGATGTCAGCCTGATGCCAGCGAAGAACGATCTGAAAAGGAGCGTGGATGAGGAAGAAGAAGAAGCTCCAAGATTAGTTGCTGTCCATGGAACAAATGCTGCTGCTGTTGATCTGGAAGAAAGAATGACGAAAGCAGAGAAAACAAAGCAGAATGAAGATGACGTGGCCATGGACGAAATGAGAAGTAACGCACCGTTTTGCCGAGTGCAACGGCAGCCTTCAAGTTTTACTGTTTAATTAGACAGGTGTACAGCTTTGATAGGTTAATTAGAAAGTTAGTTTAAACGGTTAATTGTAAATTATTGTTTGCAGTTGTATATAAACTCTTCTCAATGGAAAAGCTCACTATGAGCAATTTCCCCAATCTGGTTTCTGTGCAAATTCCTCTCAACCCTAAATCTTCTCATGGTATCAGAGCGCTAGTTATCGCGCTAAGATCCACTTCTGCGTTTTCTTCTACACTTTCTTTCATTTCTCTGATATTCACCTTCACCTTCATCATCGATGGAAGGTCAAGACACTTCACAAGAAACTTCACCCAACACTGAACCCAGATCTGAATCTTCTGCAAAATACAAAGCTGTTGTATCCCAGTATGAAGATCCTTACCTCAATCCTTACTACCTACCTCCTCAGGATGGAGCTCTACCCACAATCATCTCTATTAAGCTTGTCGATGGCAACTATCATACTTGGAGTGAGGTCATGCTGCTGGCCTTGGAGACGAAGAACAAATCTCAGTTCATCGATGGTCGTATACATGTTCCCCAGGTAACTGATGCTCATTACCAATCTTGGGCTAGATGCAATGGAACCATTCGATGCTGGATCTATAATTCGTTGTCAGATGACATAGCTAATAGTGTGATGAGACTAGGGTTGGCTAAGGATGTATGGGATAACTTGAAGAACCGTTTTATCCAGGAGGACAACATCCGTGTTTATGATCTTAAAGGTCAATTGGCAAAATGTGTTCATGGTGATGATTCTGTGAGTCAGTATTTCACTAATCTTACTGTTATATGGGAGGAATTCAAGAGATACAGACCATTCCTGTGTGTCCTTGTGTTCCTGGCCCTTATGAAACCCTAAAGAGATATCAGGACAATGATTTTGTCATCAAATTTCTCCAAGGGTTGAACCCTTCTTACCAATCAGCAAGAACCCAGGTCTTGATGTTGCCTGTTTTACCTCATGTTGACATAGTCTTCAAGCAGATTTTACAGTTGGAATGACAATTAAAGGTCCTTAACAAAGGTCCTAATGTTGACTCTCTTGCCTTAGCTGTGGGAACACCCAACAACAACCAATTTAAGGGAAGAGGGCAACAGCAACAACAAACACAAGATGGTAAGAAGATTTGCAATTACTGCAAGAAGGAGGCCATATGATTAAAGACTGCTACAGATTGAAAAACAAGAAGGCCAGAGAGGCAGAAGCTGGTTTTGCCGGATCAGTGGAGAGTTCCATCCCCTATGAGAATTCTACTGCCTCTTCAGACAACAAAATGAGTCTTGAAAGCATCTTCACTCATGAACAGATGGAGAAATTGAGGCTCATGCTCTTCAAATCTCCATCTCCTTCACCATCTCCTCCTACTTCTCCATCACTGCATACTGCAAATGCAGTCACTCATTCTGCACCAACCAACATGCAACCTCCACAATTGGCTTACATGCCTTACAGATCATATAATCTATAGTTCCAAGTTTTAGAGCAAGTATAAAGCACTTGCTGGTGTTTCTGTTACTCTACCTACTGGTGAACAAGTAAAGGCCACACACATAGGTGTAGTTAGACTCCCTTGTGGCTTATTCCTTTCACAAGTTCTGCTAGTTCCCACTTTTAGCTATAATCTTGTTTCAGTCAGCAAGTTAACCAAACAAAATCCTGTCTCACTTACCTTTCAATCCTCTGTCTGTGTCATTCAGGACCTTATTACACAGAAGAGGATTGGTTTAGCCCAAGTGGATAGAGGACTTTACCTTTTCACCAAGACACCATCTTCAACTTCCACACCTCAATGCCTTGCAGCCACTTCCCACAATTTCCAGTCCCAGCAGTTTGATCTCTGGCATGCCAGATTAGGACATCCACATGTTTCCAGATTACAAGCTATTCATAGAGTTTTTCCTGATGTAATAGCTTCTTCATACACTCATTGTGATGTTTGTCACTTAGCTAAATAGAAGAGACTTCCATTTCCTTCTAGTTTCTCTATTAGTCCTGTTCTTTTTGGATTGATACATGCTGATATTTGGGGTCCATTGAACATAGTTTCTTACAATGGCTATAGTTACTTCTTAACTTTAGTTGATGATCACTCTAGATGTGTGTGGACCTATCTTATGAGATCAAAGGATGAGGCAAGACCTCTCCTTCAATCCTTCTGTTCTATGGTCAAGTCTCAATTTAACACAAATGCCAAAACCATCAGGACTGACCAAGGACAGGAGTTCCACATGAATGATTTTTATAACACAGAAGGAATTGTTCATCAAATGAGTGTTGTCTACACTGCACAACAGAATGGGAGGGTTGAAAGAAAGCATCAACACCTCCTTAATGTTGCAAAAGCACTCAATTACCAATCAGTTCTCCCTCTGCTGTACTGGAGTGATTTTATCCTTCATGCAGCATACTTGATCAATAGAACCCCTACACCTGTTCTACAAAACAAAACCCCCTTTGAAGTTCTTCATCAGCTACCTCCTGATTATACCAGTCTAAAAGTCTTTGGCTGTTTGGCTTATGCAGCCACATCAGGGCAACCTAGAACAAAGTTTGATCCTCGAGCCAAGCAGTGCATTTTTCTTGGTATTCCATCTGGTATTAAGGGTTTTAAGTTGCTGAATCTTGAAACTAAACAAGTTTTTGTGTCCAGAGATGTGATCTTTTATGAACACATTCTCCCTTACAAACAGTCTATCCCTTCTACTCCACCTACAAATCCAACCACTCCACCCATTTTCTCTGAACTATCTCCCTCATATGCTCAGTCACCCATTTTTCCTCCCAATCCTGTGACTTCTTTTCCTCATCAGTCTGAGGAGGACACTGCTACTCCCTTTACTTCACATCCTGATGAGCCTCATGAAGTCACTTCTCCTCCCACTGGTACTGATGCATCCCTTCATTTCCTGCTATCACCATCTCCATCTAAAACTCCTTCTTCCTCTTCTTCCAAACACACTTTTTCACCTTCTTCTTCCACATACACCTTTTCCCCTTGTCCATCTCCCCATGAAGATCCACCTGCTCCTCTTAGAAAGTCAAGTAGAGAGTCAAAACCCCCTTCATGGCATTCAGATTATGATATGCACTATCCTCAGAGTAAGAGCATTTCTTACTCTCACTTGCAACCTAAACTTCAGAAGTTTGTTAACTCATTGATCACTCACATGGAATCAAGTACCTATACTGAAGCTTCAGAACACCCTGAGTGGAATGAAGCTATAAGAGAAGAACTGCAAGCACTTTTTGATAATGGTACTTGAGAAATCACATATTTACCAGCTGATAAGAATGCAATAGGATGCAAGTGGGTGTTTAGATTGATGTTGAAATCTGATGGCACAGTTGTCAGGTTTAAAGCCAGATTAGTTGCAAAGGGATATACTCAAGTTTATGGGATTGATTATTGTGATACATTCTCACCAGTGGCCAAGATGGCCTCAGTGAAAATGTTATTATCAGTTGCAGCTGTTAAAGGTTGGCATTTGCATCAAATGGATGTCAGCAATGCCTTTCTTAATGGAGATTTAACTGAGGAAGTGTATATGGTATTGCCACCTGGATTGGATCTTGATGGAAAGTACAAAGGGAAAGTATGCAAATTGAAGAAATCTTTGTATGGTTTGAAGCAAGCAAGTCGACAGTGGTATGCAAAGTTGACTGATTCATTGATTAATCATGGCTTCAAACAGTCTACTTGTGATTATTCAATCTTTACTGCTCATGTCTTGAATGAGTTAGTGGTGTTGATTGTTTATGTGGATGATATTGTTTTGGGAAGTTTGAGCTTGGAGTCAATTAATGCAGTAAAGAGGATGCTGCATGCTGACTTCAAAATGAAGGATCTAGGAGAATTGAGTTACTTTCTTGGCCTTGAAATAACATGTGGGCAACAAGCCATTACAGTTTCACAGAGAAAATATTGTCTTGATGTCATTGCTGAATCAGGATTTGGAGATTGTAAACCAGCAGCAACTCCAATATTTGTTAAGGAAGTTCTGTCTTCTGAAGGTGGTACACCACTTGAAGATATTGGTGAATACAGGCATCTAGTGGGTCAACTTCAGTACTTAACCACCACTAGGCCTGACATCACTTTTGCTGTGCAACAGCTTTGCCAATTCCAGGATAAACCTACCACACAACATCTTAGAGCTTTGCATAGGGTTCTAAGGTACCTAAAAGGTTCACCTGGACAAGGTCTGCTATACTCTTGTGATTCAAGCTTGCAATTAAAGGGATACAGTGATAGTGATTGGGCAACTTGCCCTGACTCAAGAAGGTCAATTACTGGATATTGTACCTTTCTTGGAACTGGTTTATTGAGTTGGAAGAGTAAGAAACAAACAACTGTATCTCGTTCCTCTTCAGAAGCAGAGTATAGGGCCTTAGCAAGCCTGAGTTGTGAAGTGCAGTGGCTAATCAGGATGCTGTCAGAGTTTGGAATCAAGCATGATGATTCTGTTTCAGTGTATTGTTTCACGAGAGGAAGAAACACATTGAGGTAGACTGTCATGTCATAAGGGAAAGAGTTCAATCAGGGATGATTTCTTTACATTACATTCCCACTGAGTTGCAGTTAGCAGATATTTTCACCAAAAGTTTGTCAATAGATCGATTTATTATGTTGTTGTCCAAGCTGGGAGTATATAACCTATACTCGCCAGCTTGTGGGAGGGTGAAAAGGAGCATGGATGAGGAGGAAGAAGAAGCTCCAAGATTAGTTGTTGTCCATGGAACAAATGTTGCTGCTGCTGATCTGGAAGAAAGAATGACGAAAGCAGAGAAAACAAAGGAGAATGAAGATGACGTGGCCATGGACAAAATGAGAAACAACGCACGCACCATTTTGCAGAGTGCAACGACAGCCTTCAAGTTTTATAGTTTAATTAGACAGGTTTACAGCTTTGATAGGTTAATTAGAAAGTTAGTTTAAACGGCTAATTGTAAATCATTGTTTGCAGTTGTATATAAAGTTATAAACTCTTCTCAATGGAAAAGCTCACTATGAGCAATTTCCCCAATCTGGTTTCTGTGCAAATTCCTCTCAACCCTAAATCTTCTCACGATCCGTGCAAGTACAAAGGAACCCAAGATTCCCGCTTTTCATACATTTCCTGAAGCCAGACATTATCTCCCAGACCATGGCGGTTGACGAGAGCACTCCACATGGTTGTGAACTCGGCTGGTGTTTGGCTCTGGGAAACACACTCTTCATATTCGTATCTAAACTCGTCAGACATCGACCTTAAATTTTCTTGCTCCTTTGTCTCAAGCTGCCACAAGGAGAAGCGATGATGTGTAGAGGGAAAGACTTCGGCAACTGCTTGTTGGATTGCCGGGTCTTGATCTGCTGTGATAGATTTGGGGGACTGGCCAAACATTGCCTTAATCCATGTTTAGAACAACCAGGTGTATGTCTCTTTTGATGACTCGTTTGCAATTAGCGCGTAGCCAAGTATCACAGGTTGCCTGTGGTGGTTAACTCCGAGAAACAGGGCAATAGGCACAACCTGTTAGAAACCAATTTCATTAGGGTTTCTACATTCATTATTATAATTACTAATAGGGTAGTTCTTATTATGGTTAGTAGTCTTTTAGTAGAATTAGGTTTATTAGTAGGGTTTTCGAGTATTTCCATATATATATATATGTACTTTGGGTCATTCGTCATATTAAGCAGAAATTAATAGAAAAGTCCTCCTTCCCCAAAACCCTAATCTCTTTCTCTCTCAAATCTCGTCTATCCTTCTCTCTAAAGGCTTCGGCCGTTCTTTCTGTTCTTCCCCAATTCTGCTCCTAATCCCAAATTCACTTCTCAAATCCCTAAATCCCCAATTCTGTTCTATAAACCCTAGATCCCCAATCTCTAGATCTGATCTAGAAACCCGTTAGAAACTTTGTTTCTAACATCTGGTATCAGAGCCATGGTCGAAGACCTGAGTTTATCACAACTCTCTCAGGGACAGCTTCCTACCAAATCGAAACTGATAAGTTCAACCGTTATATCGGAGCTGACGTGGGTTCAAAAGCAAGGAAGAATGTGGCAGATCGTGGAGTATTGGAAGGAGCACGGGCTGCGTACTGCCGCGAAGGCTGGTGAGGACGCTGCGGCGGGCGGGCTACCGCTGTCCGCCGTTGCTGACGGGGACGAGTTCGAAAAAGATGGACAAGAACTGGTGACTCCTGACGCTGATGACCCAAGCGCCTCGCCACCACGCAAGCCTGCTGTTGCTCTCCAGCTTCACTCGAATATGACGATAGCGGCGGTAGAGCGGCAAAGTGAGGTGGTGACGACCCTAACGCCAGAGGATAACGAGCTGGCGCGTGCGCTGATGACCAAGGAGGAATCTTCCAGCGATTCTGAATCCCTAACTCGAGATTCAAGGGGAAAGAATAGCAGGGCCAATTGGAAGTTCCGGAAGAAGAGAGAAAGGTCAGAAGATGGTTTTGGTGCTGAGAAACGGAATAATCAAGGAGGGGTGGTCACCTGTCTATCAAAGGGTTGGAGAAAAGAAGAGTCGTCGCGGGTTCGAGAAGAATCTGCCGGGAACGGGATGACAACGCAGAACGTCACTCCACCCTTGCCATTCGCTGTGACGGGCGCCGTCTAAACGACCACGCAGATGGAGACCCGCTCGACACGACCAGCCATCAACGCTGTAACATCCCGTATCCGGGTGGAATCTTACACCAAACCGGTTCGATGCATCAACAAAGAATGAATTCGACAAGATCGAGAGAATCATTCGTCCTCCTCAATTAATGTCGTGAAAAATATGGAGAATAAATATAGCACGAAGGGAGTATGGTAGAGGGTGAAAATACGAACACGTCTCAAGCTTAAAAAGAGTATAAAAAAAATAAAGTCAGGGCCAAGATTCAACCCAGTGACCTGATGTCCTAAACCTATCATCGCCACCAGTTAGACTAAGAGCCATTCATGTTAACAAAATTCCTCTTAAATTTAATTGAAGCTTATCTAACGGGATTTATATAAAAGAAAGGGACCAAGCCCGGAGCTCCATGTCGTGGCTCTCCCTTCCATTGCAATAAGTGGCCAGTATAGTTTATATAATTTTATGCTCCTCAACTCTTGGAAATGAAGCAACCACGTCACTCATACCTTATTTCTGTACAAAGAATTCCAATTGATTAATCGATGCATGAGCTGGGCGACGTTAATATCCAACAACCATATTGTCGACCAACTGAGAAGGACGCCACCGGAATGTTATATATAGTGAGAACCGAAGCTCAACACAAGAAAGAAAATAGGGAGAGAGAGATCAGTAGGAGTGTTGAGCGTTCTGGAGTTGGAGAGATCGACTTAAGGGTCTGGGGAAGTTCCTCACTAAGCTAGAAACATCGTTGAAGCATTGTCGGAGCTTCGCCGGAGTTTCGTCGGAATCCCGTGACGGCAACGACGTCAACTCCGACCTCAACCATTCTGTGAGTGGTTGGTAACGTTACGAAGAGGACGATCCCAGAAGCACGCACGTTTCGACGGAATCAATTTTCGACGTCGGACGAGGGAGAAACGAGCCTCGCAAGTTGGCCACATAGAACTGTCAGTTTCTGAAAGTCAGGTACTGTTTCTATCAATTCGAAAAGTTTGAGGACCTAGGCGGACGTTTTCCATAGGAAGGGTCAACTCTCTGGTTGACCAGAAAATTATAAATTCAGTACCTGTTACTTCCAGAACTGACAGAATTCGTATTTTGGCCATAATTTGTTCGTTTGACGTCCAAACGACGAACCGTTTTCGCCTACAGGATCGTAAAGACGAGGAGAATTTTATCAAGGAGTATTGGGATTTTTTTACAGCAGCTGTGCAGAGTTGAATTACGTCATAAATAAGGTGTGTGGACCCTGCGGTGAATAGGCGGTGTTTTACTACGTGCTATGTGTTTAATATTGAAACATAGCTGAGGATTTAACGAAGATAAAATGAAGAATGTCGTTATTATGATTTTGATACTCGAGTAGAATTGGATGATTCATAATCGAGTATTTGGAAATTTACGATTTTGTAATTGATCCCTACGAGTCGTGGAATTCCTTGAGACTACGTTGTTACTATTTCAATAATTCATGACGTGATTTCATGCCATGAGTTATGTGAAATTCCGACTACAAAATAATAATGCTCCTAATAAGACTACTTGGGATAATCATTAAACCACGAACGAATTCGTAATAATTTGAATAATGGACAGCTACCATGGGAGAATTCTGTCTAGGCTAGTGGTTTTTAATCGAGACCTTCGTGGTACTCGTCCACTTACCTGGGAATTCACTCGGTTAACTCTTTGGGAATACGGTTGTAAGAAGTGTACTACGAGTAGTGGCACTCATTCCTCTTCTCGGAGTTTTTACCACGGCGGGTCCGCCATTCTAATTACTCGGTGATTCACCGAATAAATGGTTATCGAACCATGTACGAGGATTTAAACCGTCCATCTTATACGTTGAATGTATGATAACGATAATGTTTGCGAATGAATTTCTACTTGATAATTTGATGGATGATATGATAATTTTATCGTATGCATGAGATGTAGAAATTAGCGTTTGGCATAGACTTGGTAATTACACCAAGATCGATTGAGATGGATGATTATTATATTGAGATTATGATGAGAATGATGATTTTATATGATGTTCATATTAATCACATGGACTTAGAAAGGGCCTGCATTTACCCCCAACCATTTGATATCATTACTGACGATCATTAGGATCGATGAGGCCAGTGGCCAGAGAGATATGATTGTGGTTTCTGATATAACCACTGAGATGATGAGGCTCGAGCGGGGGTGGATGTATGGTGACCTTGGCGCCCAAATTAATAAAATGGAAATGCATCGCACTTGCACATTGTTTGGATATTGGATGCTAGGTTGAGAATTATATTAGGTTGAGACTTCAACCTAGATGCCATGATTAGGTGGTTAATCGATTGATGTGGAAAACGTATCCATAGACTTCGCCGTGTAGGAGGGAACAGCGCCACACACTCAGCTAAATTAGTTAGCTGACCCATTCCCCTTTTGTGTTCAGATCCGTAGCAGAGGGACCGAGCTTGGACGTTGGAGCTGTGCAACTGCTACTCCATCATGAGGTAGCGGACGATTGGTCTGAGGAGAGTTTTAACTATGTTTTGTGTTTTAAACCAAGTATCCTAAACATGTATTATGTTGGATTTGATTGCATCGAACTTGATCGATTGAGTTATTATGATTTATGGATTGTACCAAAGTATGTAAGATGGAGATTTGAGTTTCAACGAACAAGTGTCTGGATTTGATGTCATGAGTTGGATGTTGTATAAATGAGATTGGATATTAATAAATGTGTTAGATTTGAAATATATATATGTTCACCTCGAGTTATGTTTAGTAAACGAAAGTTGCATATGTGTTGAATGATGAGTTAATACGTAAACCCCGTTAGTATTTTCTGCTGTGCGGGCGAACCAGTGGTTCGACCCATGAGTTTTAGGGTGGGGTGTTACAAACGCCGACAATGATCGACGACGCGTCACGGTGGTTAGAAGCAATCCGGGTGGCTCATCGGGACTTCAGGGTAAGCCATCAAGGCGACGGTTTCCAGCTGCTCCAATCGTCGCGGCGACGCCACTCGAGGTAAAGGACCACCGAGTGCATTCCCTGGCGGTCCGAATTGTGCATGAGGTGCCGCGATTGGCGGTGGCTTCGATTGCATCCACCAAGGAGAAGAATCCAGGGGATGAGGCGGAACAAAAGGCGGAGGTCGAGGTGGACTGGCCACTGGGTCATCGGCGAGATCGCGCGCCACCAAGAAGGGAAACGCCGACGACGAAATCGTGGTCGGGGGCGAGTCGTGACTCCGGCTCATCACGAGAGGAGAAGAAAGTGAACGGCGACGAGGTTTCCCGGTCGGAGAACGAGGTGAAGAGGCCACCGACGGGGAACGAAGAGAAGAAGAAGGGCGGCAAGGATTTCTCTTCTTCCGGCCGGACTTCAAGCGACGAGCATGCGAAGTCGATGGCGAGGATTGCCTGGTCAAGCTTGCCTCTTCTCGACGGGATGGGCGACTTGCCGGAGATAGAGATGGGGACAGGGTCAAAACCGTCGATGAAGGTTACGAAGACGGATGGGCCGATGCTGAGTGTCGAGACGCGGGATGATGGCGGTGGCAGCATTCCGCCTGCAACCCTATGTCGCACCCGCAAACGGCCTGAGAACATGGTCAAAGGGATTCAAGCTGTGAAATGGGATGGGCAAGCCGAAGTGAGCCAAGCTATGCGGTTCGTTTTTGTTCTTGGGCCCGGAAGAATGAGTTGGGTAGAGAGCTTTGGTGGGCCACGCCGTATGGATTGGCTGGAAAGGAAAGGAGAGGTATATGAGCTCTATTAAGACCTGATGGCTAGGACGAGCGGGCCGCAATATGTGAGGGATCGGGCCGAGTCCGGGTCAGAGATTGGGCCGGGAATATTGAGTATTACCAGATCAAACAAGAGAGAGATTGGGCCCAAGTTAGACTATCTGGTGAATTTTCCCTTGTACGAACGTGGCCCAATATTAGAAGTAAGTGGATCGGGTCTGCAGGAAAGAATAAAGGCCCACATGGCTTGTGTTTTGAAGAAAATGGGCTCAATGGCTTTGGATGACAATTCTTTTAGGTTAGTAGATGGACTTTTGGAAGAGCACGGCCCAAAAATATGTGGAGAAGCAACCAAGCCCGGTAATGGGTCAGCCACAAGAAAAATATTTGAGGGCCTTAATGAGTTGGTACTCAAGGATAAGTTCTTGTACAAGAAAGTATCCTTGAAGCCCTTGAGTGGTGGGAGTGGGGAGCCAACGGAAGAGGAGCTGTTGGAGTTTGAATTTGTCAGGGAAGCAATTAGTGGGCTCAAAGAAGTGAAATTCGAAGAGCCAATTCAGCACAGGAAGATCGGTGCAAGAAGCCCAAAACCGGAGTTGGAGCCTGATTGGAAGAAAAGAAAGCGCACAACAGGGAGCAAGCGATGCATTGATCACACGAGGAGGTTGGAGGAGTGGGTCAAGTCAGTCAATCTTGAGGGCAAGGTTGGTCTGAATTACTAATAGGGTAGTTCTTATTATGGTTAGTAGTCTTTTAGTAGAATTAGGTTTATTAGTAGGGTTTTCGAGTATTTCCATATATATATATATATATATATATATATATATGTACTTTTGGTCATTCGTCATATTAAACAGAAATTAATAAAAAAGTCCTCCTTCCCCAAAACCCTAATCTCTTTCTCTCAAATCTCGTCTATCCTTCTCTCTAAAGGCTTCGGCCGTTCTTTCTGTTCTTCCCCAATTCTGCTCCTAATCCCAAATTCTCTTCTCAAATCCCTAAATCCCCAATTCTGTTCTATAAACCCTAGATCCCCAATCTCTAGATCTGATCTAGAAACCCGTTAGAAACTTTGTTTCTAACACTTCTTCTTCCTGTGTGAAGTATCTAAGATGATTGCATCACCAAATTGGGTGCATGAGAATCGAGACCTTCCGTCTGCCCAGAAAATGCTCTTGCAACTGCCATTACTGCCTAATTCTATACCGTAGAAGAAGCCTGTATCTTGTGCTTGCATAGTTTGGAAATATTCAAGAAGCAAAGAGTACAACTCACATCCAATCCCATTTTCTCGTTTTATGGTGGCTTGCCCAAGGTTTTTAGCCATTGCAGGAGCTAGGGAAACAGATCCACCAATCACCTCATCCATTGATCTCTTTGGAGTGACAGGTTCTAGCCCAGTTTCATGATTATGATTCTTTTCGAGACGGTCCACTA